CTAGATCGATCTGAGATCGGATCCAAGCGATCTGAAATCAGAATACTAATGCATGTAGGAGAAAGAGCTGTAAAGAGCTGCTTACAGAAACTGGTCAATCAATATCTCATGATATGAAGGCAAGGAGACTTAGATTGGTGGGTTCTGTAGCTCGGAGCAATACATCTGGAAGCCTCTACACAACAATGAATGCCTCAATAGAAGGAAAAATACCTCGTACAACAAAAAAGTATTTTTTCTTTCTTTTTTAACAGGCCTTCAAGGACCACTGGAAGATTATTCGGGGAAAAAAACAAGCCCACAAACTTTAATCCTGGATCAACTACTACAATGTGGTCTATTTGAAGGAACATGGTTAGAAAGTACGAAATTACTTTTATGTAAGGCTCTGATTTTTATATATTTTTGGGCAAATGAGTACACAACTACAAATTTGGTAGGAATTAGGGCTCAGTCAAATCAGTACTGACAGAAAAATTATTCAGAGAGGTTCGGGCTGATATTTCAAATCACTTAATTAAAATGGTGTAGAGGGACTGACTTTTGAAATTGACTGATCAATAAATAAAAATTGCATATATTTATAATTTTTAAATAACAATTATTTTTAATCAGTGTAGTTCATATTACCTATCTAATAGAATACTTGTAGTCTATATTGGTCTACTTATAAAATAAGGTAAAACAATGTTTTATACAAAACAATTTTGGAAGACATATTTAAATGTTTTAAATTACAGAGTAAGTTATCGGACGAAGAGCTTTTGGGAGTAGGTACCTTTGTTATAATGCTGTTTACTGAACTTTTGTTTGCTTTACAATTTTGTTTATATGGTCAAGAAATATCGGATGAGGTATGTAATACAAAATATCAAAAGTACTTTATATGAATAAGAAAATATTAAGTATTTTAAAATATTGTTTATTTTTGCTTTGTAGAGTGGCAGACTTTTCTTCACTTTTTGGTCCACCCCTTGGTGGTTCTTCGATAAAAGAGTTAAATCGGTTATTTTTCTCATGATGCTCAACACAAAGAGGCCTATAATACTGAAAGCAACATTTCTCAATATTAGCTCATCACTAGAATCATTCAGTAGTGTAAGCACGGAAGATTATTAAACTCTTTCTATTTTTAAACAGTGAAAGAAATAGTATTAAACAAAAACAAAGTCCCTTTAATCCAGGAGCTGAGGAAAAATCATACAAAGAAGTAAATTATTTCTTTTCAGTTTTTATAGAAATGGAACTATGATCATTTAAACACCAACATCGCTAGACATTCAACACCCCAGTATTTATTTTATTTATTTATTCGCCTTTCCTTGCCTTTGGGCACAACTAGTGTTGAAAACTTTGGGGATTATACAAATTTTGCCAATTAACATCTAGCGATCATGTTAACATAGGCGTCATGAGTTCGTCTATTGATGGCTGGCCTCCATCTTCTTCTTCTCCTCCTCTGTCCGGCTGTCGTACAGCAAATTGTCCTCTTCCTGGAATATTGAAATGAGCAAGGCCAACTGCGGTTTTCCTCCCATAAATAAACGACTTGAAGAACGGGTTGTTCTCTTCGGTCAACAACTGAAGGACATCGTTCTCAGAGAAGAGCCCAGTTTCCCTTACAAGTTTAAGCGTAAGAGCCTTAAAACGGCATTGAATTATCCTTGTTGAATTAACACTTCCGTAGTCGCATGTCATCTGTGTTGCATGCCTGTTCAAACCTATGAACCCCTTCTCTCTTCTATCTTTCTAGCTTAGTGACAGTCACATGCTAGTATTATAGTGACTTTTTTCTTGTCATGTTTTATTAAGTTATTAGCTGAATCATCTCTAAGATTCTATGCGAATACAATTGCATTCAGTAAATTAAAAAAATAAAATTTAAAATGATAATCAGCTTTTTTTGCTCTTTTGGGATCCTTTATAGTTTATGAGAGTCATTAATAATCCCTGATAAATTAATAATAATTTTTTTTTTCAAGTCTTCAAGAAGCACTTGAATATAATTTTATATAGCTTCTTCTTTTTTTTATTTATCTTCTAGAATAATTACAGTATATATATACATATTTTTTTTTATTTTATTTATTTTATTTTTGCCTTCTTATTTGACTGATCACCCCAACTATTCTTCTCTCTATTTATATATATATATATATATATATATATATATATATATATATATATATATATATATATATATATATATATATATATATATAAATAGAGAGAAGAATAGTTGGGGTGATCGGTCAAATAAGAAGGCAAAAATAAATGATACTATTTATTTTGACATTAGCCGATGTTTATATAAATATGATATTTTATATATATATATATATATATATATATATATATATATATATACTGATATATTTTTACTGAATTTAATTAAATTTTAATAAATTTTTTTACTGATAAACAGCAGCGGATCCAGAATTTAATTTTAGACAGCTTATATATATATATATATATATACTGATATATTTTTACTGAATTTAATTAAATTTTAATAAATTTTTTTACTGATAAACAGCAGCGGATCCAGAATTTAATTTTAGACAGCTTATATATATATATATATATATATATATAAACATAAGAATATGTTTAAAATAATATTCATAAAAACAGGTTTGATTTATTTCTGATTTTTTGATCTGTATTTTTTTCTGATTTCAGATTATTTCTAGTGCATACCATGTGGGAAATTTAATGTTGAATATGTAATGAAAAATATGATGAATATGTACTGATATGTTTTTCTACTCATTTATTTATTTAGATTTCATGTCTCCTCTTGGATAATTCTAGACATTGCAAATAGAAATATTACAGCCTAAATATATGTTATTTGTTCTACCTGAAGTCACTTAATATTGACTTAAGAAATTTAGTTTAGAAAGATGTTCAGTACTTTTTAAAAGCCTTTTTTAATGGTTAAGTTTCTCAATTGGAACTTTATCCTGGAAATAGTAGTTAAGTAGTTTGGTTTTCAACCACCAGGGGAGATCACCACAGTCTTTATAAACCATTTTACATGGTTAAATTTCTTGAACATATTTTTGTGTGCTATGAAAGTAACCTTACACTGACAATAACAAAATGGAAAAATTGTGGTATACACAACAGGTTTTAAATAATAGTATATTTCCTGAACGCTTGTTATAGTTTGGTAAAAAATTTATATGTTGAATCAATTTGGTTGAACTCTTTTACGTGTTTAACTTTTTTGATCAAATTGAATTTATCTAAGAAACTTAACAGAGTAAACGGGCCCTTAGATTTAATAAAATCATTTAAAAGGATAAATTTTATAAAATAAGTGCAGTTCTTCCACAATTATACAATATTGTTGGATATTAGTATACAAACGAATGAAGTAAATTTTATTTCTTTTCACTTCAGCTTCAGGCAATGGGTTCTTCCCAAATGTATCCCTTCTAAATTATCCGAGAATAAGATCAATTGTAAGAAAATGGAAAATATCTTCTGGTTCGCCGAGGTTGTAAAAGGAACATTCGGCGCTGTCATCAAGGCTTCAGGGTTCGGGTTCAGGTTTAGTGTTTCGGTTTTTGCCTTTATCTCCGTACTCATCATGTGCAAGCTGTTTTCATCACTTATATTAAAAATGTTAGTTTGAAAACTTTAAATATGAAAGTTTTATACCATGACTATTATTTTGCCTTTGCCAGTCTTTCCTGTGATATTTTTTTTTTTTTTTTTGACAATTCTACAGCTATTATAATATTATCTACAGTCTTCTTTCTTTGTGTCTCTTATTTATCCCAATAGTCCTTAAAATCTATTCCGATCCCTGTATAGACCTCAAGGAGATCACTGATTCAACCCAACACTTTAGAGATAATCCGCTGTGTTAATTGATATGTTAGCCTTTAGAATATCAATATATAAGGAAATTACTTTTGAAATTCTTTAAGTACGTTTTAAAATGTTTTCAATAAAATAATATTTTTTATTTTGTTACTGCTGCTATTAACTTTCTAGCAAATAAACTGTAAATAAAAATTTCAAATCTTCCTAATTCTTATCTGCTGTATCAAATGTTTTCCACCTCCCTCCTTTCCATCACAGTATTATGATTTCCCACCAAAAGTCAAAAATTGTTACGATTTGTATGTACATTTTTTTTTTTTAAACTATTTATTCAAGATATTTACAACTGTATTACAATATAAATGCATCAAGTAAATGTGTACACAAGAACATAATCACTTGAAAACGCTTGTTGAGAAACTACCCACAGGTAGCACTCTAATAATATATCTATATAAGGAGATCACGGGACCAACTTCTTTTCAGATGCCTCGGAGGGTTATCAGGAATTGAAGAGGAAGCAAGGTTAGAAACGAGTGGGTTCGGATGATTATGAAGTTTATTATGGAAGGATAGGTATCTGGATTGGGCCAGATCTGAAACATTAAGGTCATTATGGATGGTTTTATTTGTAACAAAGTAGGGAGCGTTGAGGATTTTATGAAGGATTTTGGATTTTTAGGATTGGATACGAGAGGAATTAGATAGTTTAGTGGAGCCCTATAGCTCAACTCCGTAAGTCCAAATAGGCCTTATTATAGTCATATATATGAGTCTTTTGTAATTAATTGGAAGTTTAGAGCGTTTGTCTAGTAAGTGTTGGAGTAAGCGGAAACGTCGAGCGGTTTCTTGTCGTTTTAGTCTTGTATGAGGATTCCAAGTGAGATGTTTGTCCAGGTGGAGTCCAAGATATCGTATTTGTTCAACAGGAATAAGTGAGGTGTTATTAAAGGATACTGTAGGACAGGAAGTCATAGGTTTACGTTAAGTACATTAGTTTAGTGTATATGTATTTTAGATTTCCTCTGATACTTCTCTTTGTCATCTAAAAACTTATATGTTTAATTTCTTAAATTTGTCTTGAACATTCAAAATCTCTTGGAATATTTCTAGACCTAGTTACCTAGATATGGCAAATGTAAAATGGAGGGAAAAAACATTGATTATATAAAATATAAATATATTTGTCTTTTATAGTTTACATTCAATTGGCAAGATTGAAAAGTTACAACAATGAGATTCATATTTAGAATATCTAATTTCTGTAAAAAGCGAGTTGAATATATAAGCTTTCATTTTTGTTTGCAAGCAATTGCAGCGATCAAAGCAGCACCCACACCACTTCCGTCATATGCAGGAATCAATTTAATCTAGACATATAAAAAAAAAAAAATTACTTTAAATATTAAATGAATCCATAATAATAATATATAATCATAAAATATAATATAACAGACTTACTTCAGTCTTATAATCGATAAGAGCAGATGTAAAGTCTATGATATAGTTACTTAAACGAGGGTGATATTTGTGTAAAGATCCATCGCATGCCACTGTTATACGCTCTCGGTCCATCCTTTTAATAATTTCAGATAGACCTGTCAAAAATATTTTTTATAAATTGATATTTTTTGTTGTTTTGAAAAAAAAAGTATACTAATGTTTACTTTTTTTTTGCAATCTCGTACTTATTTTATCAAATTATATCTTTGATAAGGTTGCCTGGCAATGGCGGTGTTCCGACACACCTTAGCCAGCTCAGCCACCTATATACTAATATTCGTTCAAAATGATTATTACTTTATAAACCGCTGAATTGATACATAAATTACTTACCATACAAGGTGCCCCCCTAAGAAAAGGATGACCTGACACTTTTAATGTAATAATATTAATAAATCATATCTAGTAATCAATGAAATATTTTAAAACCAATATTTTCCAATAATAATAAGTTTCTTTAGAATTTGATATTACTGTCTGTTTGTTGAAGCAATGTATTTCTTAGTCAATTTCAAAAAAGTGCCCAAAAACACATTTTAGGCCTGAAAACTGGTTAAGACTTCATTTACTGACCCTTGCTCATAGACACTCTTTTTTCTCACCATTATAGAGAGGAAAACTGTCAAACTTTTTAAGACATAATAATGAATTCCGTTCACCTATTGATGTCAGCAGTCCCATCCTGATAGATAATACTTCGCAAATATATTTTAATGTGGTAATGTCATCATCTGAGCACCAATCTATTCCTAATTCATCTACTATTATTCGTCTTGTATTTTTAGTCGAATCCTTGAGATTATCCCTGAAACATGCAATAAAAATAGTAAATAAACAATACAATAAGAATATTAGCTACTGTCATAAACGAAAACTGAAAGTAATTGATAATATAAATGAAATAAATCATAGATCATTAATTATTATGTTGAGACTGACAGTTAATGTGACATACTCTTCAATGTCTGATATGTATTCACTCTTGAAGTTATCGCTATTTTCTAGAGTTTCACTGAGGCGACCCTCAAAAATCAGACTTTGTTCAATCAAATCCACAAGAATAGCCCATACAAGCTTTCCAAAAAACTCACCACCTACAAATTTCTCAAACCTAAAAAAAAAATTTAATTAATTGAGATATGATAAATGGACAAGGATTAGGGAAGCTAAGTGGGTCCACCTTAACAAATTTTATGATACAAAGACTTACGTAAAAAGATTGGGATGAAGAGATTGTTTATCAATTAAATCATCATACTTTGTTTTGATAATGTCAGCACGTCCGTCATCAGAAAATGTTCCCCATTCTATATTCAACATTACCTAAAAAAATATTTTTAATCTTTACACTTAAGTAATATTTGAAATATATAGTTTGTCAATATAAAGTAAAGTAAACTGTAATATAAATATTATATTTAATCAATATATGATTAAGTTTGAACAAAACTCCCTTTTAATCTGACAACCTTTTATTTTACAATTAAAACCTTTTTTTTATATAAGAATTATTCTTTAATATTTCGTCTATAAAAACATTTATAGTGTATTCTTTATTTTTATCCTTTTTATTATTATTTTTTATAAACGTTTGCTTAATTCTTATTGTTAACATATATGTTTACATTTATCCTTTGTAAAATCCTCATTGCTCCCTACTTTTTCACAAATAAAATCATTCATAACGACCTTAATGTACCAAATGTTTCCGATTCAGCTCAATCCGGATACCTATCCTTCCATAATAAACTTCTGAACCCTCTGGTTTCTAACCTTACTTCCTCTTCTATTCCTGATAACTCTCCGAGGCATCCGAAATGAAGATGGCCTGAGGAGCTTCTAATATAGAAATATAATTGGAGGGCTACCAATGGGTAGTTTATCTTCATGTTGTACATGTCATGTTACTTATTTCATATTTACTTGTTGTATTTTTCATTTAATACAGTTATAAATTTCAATAATAAAAAATATATATATTTACATTTTACCTTTTTATTTTAAAGTTTACAGATATGTGCTTTTTAATTTTTTTTTTTTTTTCTGTTGGCATTACAGACCTTTTAGATCTTTTGCCGCCTTAACAAGCCTGCTCTATCTCTGTCTGTCTTGGGATATTTCTTTCCAATTATCTGAACGCAGCTCTATTGCATCTTTGCTCTATGCTCTGCCCTTCTTAATTCCCCTGCCTTCATATCATGGGATATTGATTGACCAGTTTCTGTAAATAGTTCTTTATTGGCCTTTCTTCTCCATGTGTTAGTACTCTGATCCCACGTCGCTGCGGTTATCGTGCAGAAGATTTTCCTCTCAAATCTTTCAACACTCCTTTCTAGGGTGCTGGTTAGTGTCCAGGTCTCACAGCCATATATTAGAGCTGGCTTTATCATAGCATTGTACACGCTTAGTTTGAGATTTTTTGGGATTTCAATACCTTTGAGAGGGAGAAGAAAGCTCTGTTAGCGCTAGTTATATGCTGGTCTGTTTCTGTCCTTTGGTAATTCATTGAGGTTATTGTGGAAACAAGGTATGTGAATTTTTCTATTGTCGGGAACGATTTTCCTTCTACACAGATCCTCTTATTTGGGTGGAATTTTCGGCTTATTGTCATATAACATATTTTGTATTGTCTTCATTTACTTGTAGCCTGATCTGCTCTGTATCTCTTATCAGAGTCTTAACCAGTTTCTAAATGATCTCTTGATCACTTCCAAGAACAGCTATATCATCTGCACACCCAAGGATTTTAAGATTTATGAATAATTTCACGATGTGGTTTTTAATAATTTAAAAAAAATAATTTTAATCTCAAGTATAAATTTTGTTTAATTAATAATAATTCATTGCATTTATCCCAAGAATAAGAAAAAATAAATGAAATACCTCTTTATGTTTCCCTTTCCAATTAGGCATATTTTCTGTTTTTTCGAAATAGCAAGCATTACTGCCGGTGCCCAATATTAAGCCAATTGCGGTTTCGCTGTCTATCAGACTTCCTCTAACTAATGCACCTGAAAACAAATAAAATAAGAATATTAAATGATGACAGAAACACTACTAAACTAAATATAAATCGGCACCTAACATATCTTGAAACAAAAAAGCCTCAGTTATTTGATGCAGCAATGTTGAAGGAACTATTTGATAATCAGGATGGGGAATATCTTTGGCAGCTTTGTGGAAAATATTTTTGAAATTTTGAAGATCTCGTTATAAACGGAGAAGAATTGAAAGCTTGATTTTAATTATTTTTAAAGTTTCATGTCTCAAGATATTTAACTAAAGATAAAACTTTTTTTTATTATAATGAATGGGTACTTGCTTGGGGAAGTTAATAAAGTTGATCAAATATAGTTAAAAGATTAAAAAACAAGCTTCAAGTCTATAAAATGCTTGAGGTACTGAAATGTAGAAAAAGCAAAAACAATAATTGTTTCAAAAATTCCAAAAACCTCCATAATCTATGCGTCCTAAAAGAAATATAATTATATCAGCCACTTCTTCTCGAAAACTTCTGATTCAGTGCAATCGCAAGTGGAGACTTTCCATTTTGACTGGGGGGAGGAGGAGACGATGGACCAAAAAGAAGCAAGGAAATGGAAGTAGTTTATGTGTAAAAATTCTACACGATTATTGTGAAACAAACAAATGTAATATTGAACATTTAAAAATAAATTTATAAATATGAACAAATCATTTGGATATATTACAATTTGAATACATTAAACATGGGAGAAAAGGGGACAGCCATCATAACATAGGTAAATTTCTAGAAACTTATTCAACTAAAAATGAATAATGTTATAAACTGAAAAATACTTTTGATTTCTTAGTTCATAGAACCTCCAAATAAAACTAAGATGTTTTCATAGTCTGACTAGTTATATAAAAATGTTTATGAAACAAAACATTCTCTGTAAAATATATTTATGCTTCTTATATATATTTATACTTCTAAATATATATTCCAACTTAACCACAGAAAATTTTACCTCTCCCCCTTCCTGAAGTCTGCACCTATGAGTGCAATTGTATGTTCTTTTCACAAAAAAGTGTTCATTAGAAAATTAGTTTTAGTTTGTTTACCTGTTGTGTCATTTACCACAGCGACAACAGAAACATCTAGACCTGGTATTTTAGAGATTGCTTCATTTAACAATTTCACCACATCTTGGCCGACTACACCGGACACATTATATTTGCCAGCCCATTTCTGTAGATACGCTGAATCGAGAGCATATTGATCAGTTGGGAAAGAGAATGTAAAACCTGAAAAAAAAAAACAAAAGAGAAAATTCAGATAATAAAATAACAATAAATTCTTCTTTACATGAGAAATGAAAAAAATAAAGTTCTAACAGAATTTGAAATATTTTTTTGACAATATATTCAGACAGATTTCAACAAAGCTAGTCAAACAATCTTAAGATAAACAACAACAAAAAAAATTAAAATTTATTTCAATATTTGAAAGAAATAGCCTTCTTAATAATAATAAATTTTTAATTTATTCTGGAATACGTCCATTCAGAGCAACATTACAGGAAATATTAGTTAGGATCTAGAGCCTTAGAATAAAATAAATAAGAACAAAATAATTAATAAATAATTAAATAAGAAATCAAAGCAAACAAACTTCTAGTATTAATATCTTCAAAAAATCAATAATTGTTATTAAAAAAAGTGCAATTAATCTATTAATACATATTTATAAATTTTGATTAAGAATAAGGAACATCTATTTGCAATTATTTTGGAACTGGATGTGATTGAATAAATGGAATTAAAAGGTTTTGGAGTGATGGATGATAGAAGGAATGAAATCTTACATGGAAAAAAGATCTGATTAGAAAAGATCTGATTAGAAAAGATCTGTTGGAAACTGTCAAATGTAAATTTCATTACCAAGAATAAGTATAGCAGGAACGAGCATAGTATTGGAATTTATGAATATTGGAAATGTCTGATGAGCTAAAGGGTTTGATAGGGAAAAGATTTTGAAAATACAAAGGAAGGAAGGATAAAGCAACTTCAAATCAGTAAAATCAAAAGATAAAAGCATCTCAAAAGATACCAAAGATGAATTATAAAAAACAATTAATTAAATGATTTAGTTTTGCCTAGAGACCATCAGAAGAACCCTCTTGTACTTAGCAACTCTAGTCAACGTAAGAGAAAAAGGCAAGACTGGAAATGTTGCAGATATGTTATTGCTAGAAATAAGTTTGGTCAAAGATGATTAAAATATTTTTATAGAATTTTATGAGATTATTAATTAGGAACAGGGTTGGAATAATAAAATTATGAAATAAAGTAATACCTAAAGGTAATTTTTTATTGGAAATTCCATGTTTTTCAGTGAAATCCGCGAGGCTTTTGGCAAAAAAATCGAAAAGTTCTGCTCCTGAACCAACCCTCAAGTGTTCTGGGACATCGTAATGGCTGACCTCTTCTCGTACTATGTTACCATTCTTCAGCTCGACGAGGATAACTCTATAGTTAGTTCCACCAAGATCCAAGGCAAGAAATGAACCACTTTCTGAAACAAAGAGTTATGGACACTGCAATGATATTCACATAAATAAATCTGTGCTCCAGTGGTAAAAGACAAAATTTTTTTATTAAATAATTTATAAACAAATTGTAATAGCTGAAAGTTATGGAACAAATGCTCCTCTGAAGAAATACAAAAATTGACACCGTGTTCTTTACCTATGATATACAGAAATTATATATCTGTTATTATTTATGAATAATTCCACTTCATGGGTGATAAATTGTCAGGATGCAGTAATTTTTAAAGTTGTTATTAGAGCCGACGTGTCGGTTAGGCTAGTAATTAAAGACCTTCAGTGCTCGAAACATGCCCTGATGATGACTCACTTGGTTGAGTTGAAACGTCATTACCAATAAAAACTATAAAAATGACTGCATCCTGACCATTTTTCACCCTTGATATGTAGAACAGTTGACTAAATTCCTCTTCATCAAATCCAATGATTGCTTCATCATTTTGAAGATCATCATCTTTAGTTGTGAAAAATAAGGTGATCTTCCAGAAAAGTTAAGAAAAAAGTCATGAAGAAAAGGAAACTTTATCTGTCCATAGCTCAAAAAGTATTCGATTTATGTCTATAATAATTTGAAAATTTCCTAAATTATTTAAAAAACAAAGAAAAAAAATATGGAAATTGGATCATTATTAGTAAAGATACAGCCTATTGGAATTTGTACAGATGTTGTGGTTTATTATTTTGAATGAACCATTGTAATCGACCATAGAAAATAAAATGGATTTCTACCTCTCATAATAAATTATACTTACTTATTTCCATATTTTCTTGCCATTTGTTCACTGATCTTAATATTTTTAATTATTATTTTTAGCATTACAAAAATTAGTTATAAAACGCTATATGAACAAAAGGGTTGATTAAATTTAACTAATTTAAATTTATTTCAAGAAATAATGTATAGATCGGCTAGCTGCTCAAAAACTATATAACAAAAATAGTAGTAGATATATAAAATAAGTCAAATTTTCATTAAAACAAATAAAATTTATGAATAATGAATGTATAATTATGGAAAAATAAATTATTTATAATACTAATAATTTATTTGGATTGCACTCTTCTTTAGACAATAATTTTATGAATGTGACTTTGTATAACTTAGTATCAGAAATTGGGATACTTTGCTTCTGTAAATGTGATATGGTCTTTTAATTTTCAGCTTTCTTGCAATATCATATATATAAATTTAAAAAAAGAAACAAGTCTTTTTCTAAGAATATTTAAACAAAATTAATTTTTAAAAATATGTTTTTAGTGGCTCTTCTCTTTGATATGGATATCTTTAAATTACACCAGTTTTTGATTTTCAGGGTAATGAGTTTTAGAAAGTAGTGTTAATTTTTCCATCTACCTATAAACTTCACTCCACTTATAAAAAAAAAATATAATAAAACTATCAAATATCAGCGCAGCGTAAACTTGACGTTTTTTCTTTCATTCATACTTTAAGAAAGCTGAGGTATTAATTTTAGACTCTTCTGACTCTGTAAGTGGATAAAAAATGTAGCTATCACAAAAAGTCCAAAAACTGGTTCACTTTGACGGAATCTCAAAAGATAACCTACTGTTCCTGCTCTTATTAGGAAACATAAGATTATTAAACTCAAGAGACGACTTTTTATAATCAGTAAAATATAAATTAATAAAATTTTTGATATAATCCCTTTACAAATCAATAATTATAGCTACAAAAAAAAAGAAAAAAACTGTACCACTACAACCCCTTAGGGTCTTGTACAGTGTGAGGAAGTACTGTTACAAGGCCAACGACTGTGCAGGGAGGTGATTGGGCCTATATCACGCTCAACTATTAGGTTTTTCCTCTTAATTAAATATTTAATTAAGAGTACCCACTTTATAGAGACTGGGTGTGCTCTCACAAGGTCGATCCACAGCTAATGAAAAATAACTATTCATCAGTCGGATTCGAATCTGGTACCTTTTGCTCTGGAAGTCAGTGCTCACTCACTGAGCTACCCTACTCCCCTTCCCCTATCGGTACAATAAAACTATTATTTAACTACTGATATGACAAAGCAATAAGTTCCTTACCATTTCCTTCAAGGCCTTGGTATATAAATGTATTCTGCATGTTGAAAGGCGATGTTCCATCATAGCGTAGACCTTTAACAAGTAAGTCACTGAATAAGTCGGCTAATGAAACTATCTTATCTCTGCTCAGCTCGAAGCACGAAAGGACTTCTTTGATCTGAGAAAAATATTTTTTTAAATATCAGCAACATTGAAGTAAAATATACATTAACTTTTCACTAATTCAGCGGTATTGATACATTTAAATAAATATTTTTAAAAGACATATCATTGGTTTATTGCAAAATGATATATATATATTACTATATTAAATGAATGACCACTGCATCTCTCGATATTAAAGACTTTTTTTGTTTAATTCCATCCAAAAAAAAAATTAAACAATTAAACTTACCTTCTTTTCTTTTCCAGGGTCTGAAAGTTTCAGCGGAGTAATACTGTGAGGTTTTATTGCACTTCCTATGTTAATTAATTCCGGCATATCCTTGAATTGAAAAAATAATACCTTTATAGGAAAGTTATTTCAAATGTTGACTGCTTTCTTAAAAATATATACATATTACTGTTTAAAGAAGTAAACAATACAGTGAGACAGGAAGATAGTTGTATTGTAAGCATGAAAATATGAAATTACCTTGAAATGTCTCAGCTAACTGACAAGATATTGTCAACGATAAAGTGCCTTAATGTAAAGTAATAAAATGGTCAAACAAATGATGGCGGATTAGATTAGGAAAATGTCTAAGGATAATAATCAGGTCACCCGGATTTGTGCGCTATCTAAAAAACCATATATAATACAACCATAATAGAGGACTTCAAGAACTGCCATAAAAAGGAGAATAACAGTTCTTTGTCAAACACTTTATTATAATTTATTTTCTGTCATAAATTAAACCAGCTTAAATCATAAGCTACATTGAGACAGTTCTTGGGGTTGTGGTTTTGATATCAGTGATTTTAAAAACTAATTTCTGAAACTGATGGAATGACCGAATTTTTTTGCATTAGAAGATTCTAGATTGAATTTTAAGAGGATTTTTTTTTCTTTATAATATAAATTACTCTGAAAAAAAAAACACTATATGGAACTATATGAAATTGTGATTGGGTTTAAAATGTGAAGTGGTTCTTGAAAAATAACTTTTAAAAAAACCATTAATTAATGGAACAATAATGCTTTTAGGGAAAACATTTTTCTTAACACTTGCTTACATTTAGCAGCTGAAATACAGAGTTATAATACAAAAGAAAACATTTTGTGATCTTTTAAGTATTTAGCTCAGATTACTCACATAAACAGATATGGACCAATGAAAATAAGAATTATTTTTCTATATATATGTATATATATATTTTTTTTCATTCGGGTGGACTTCATTACTAAATGTATTCACCATTTTTATTTGATTAGGTTTCAGTAATTAAAATGAGTGAACAAAAAAAATGAATTCTGAATCGACAAGCTTGTAAAAAGATGTTTCCACGGCCTAGTATCTTTAATTGTGGCGACAACGCTTTTTTACATTCTAGCATTGAAAACGCAGGATTTAATTTTTTTTTGGGGAGAGCTTCGGTGTGATAAGTTTTTTTTTTCATAAATATAGCGATGATTACTTTGAAAAAAAAAAGAAAAGAAACTAACTGTCTATATAAAATGATATTTAAGTGATACTTGAAGTTCTATTCAATGTAATTACACGAAAAATAATACTTTAAGAGATAATTTTAAAATATTTTTTGCCATAAAAAAAGGTTACATTTTACCATTTGGGGAGGGAAGGAGATTTCAGACTGAAAGCCTCCCTTTCTTCCTCCCGCCCCTCGTAGATCTTCCTGTGATTGGGAATGAATTAAAATGTACTATAAACAAATTAATAAAACTGAATGGAACTGAACTGAATTTCCATTTAAAGTTTGGACTCACTTAGGCCAGAGTTTTGGTCTGTTTTTTTTTTCGATTCATTAAATTATATTTATTAAAAAAATAATCTAGAAATTATGTAAATGAATAAAGTTTATAAAAGAATATTAAATTTTTTTTTTTTTTTTTTGACCTTTTGAGACATCTGGAAAGAAGATGGTCTCTGGACCTTCTAATATAGAACTTTAATTTGAATTCTACCAATGAGTAGTTTCTCTTCACCACTAGCGGATCCAGAATTCAATTTGGGGGAGGCTTCAGCCCGAAACCTTTTTTTTTTTCATAAAAATAACGAAAATTACTTTGAAAAAACAGAAAGAAACTAACTATCTATATGAAATGGTGTTTAAGTTATTTCTTAAGTACTTTTAAATGTAATTACACGAACAATAATACTTTAAGAGGTATTTTTTAATTTTTTTTTCCCTATAAAACATGGTTATATTTTTCCATTTTGGGGGGGGGCTTCAGCCCGAAAGCCTCCTCCCTCCCCCCGTAGATCCGCCCGTGCTCTTCATCCAATTTCACATTTACTTGTTGTATTTTCCATGTAATACAGTTGTAAATTTCAATAAATAAAAAAAATTTAATTCTAAAAAAATTCTTTTTATTGTTAGTTAAATATATATATTTTTTAACGAGTTTCCATTGGCATTGTGTGTCCTTAAATTGGTTCTTAAATTATGTCCTTAAATTACAAACCCTACACAGATTCTGACACCTTAGCACAGCCTGCCTGTTTGGAAACTTAAATTGTTTAAGATCAATCCATAAATACATTGCAAAATTTTAAATGTTCTAAGGATTTTTAATTTAAAATAATTTGAATATTTATTGACATTAATCGGATATTATTTTTCGTAAAAAGAAAATAAATATTGCCTTTGATAGTTACTTTTGATAGCTTGGAACTCTACAAACATAAACGTGTTCAGATACGTGTCTAAGGATTTTAATATAATTTAATGGAATTCTTCAGTTTGGCTACCGTCTTGTTTTGTTCATCTCTTCAACTAAATGCGGTCTCCTTGGTACGGTTTCTGGTATTCCTAGATCACTAGCGGATCCAGGATTTAATTTTGGGGGGGGGGGCTTCAGCCCGAAACCTTTTTTTTTCATAAAAATAACGATAATTACTTTGGAAAAACAGAAAGAAACTAACTACCTATATGAAATGGTGTTTAAGTTATTCCTTAAGTACTTTTAAATGTAATTATACGAACAATAATACTTTAAGAGGTATTTTTTAATTTTTTTTTCCCATAAAACATGGTTATATTTTTCCGTTTGGGGGGGGGGGCTTCAGCTGGAAGCCTCCCGCCCCGTAGATCCGCCCGTGTCCTAGATTGAGTGTTAGATTTGGGTAGGTTTCTACTCTTCCCAAAAAATATGGTATTATGGATGTTAGCTTTCAGAACAACGAATGATTTTTTTTTCAATATAACGATGACTACTTATACTAGAAAATATTTCGGGCTGAAGCCCCCCAAAATTAATTCCTGAATTCATTAGTGTTAGTAACAGCATATGGGAAACATCAAAAACAAGTAACACTAGCATATCAAAACAACCATTTATATATTTAATTTTTTATATTTCGTGGAATATCTAAACGCACATTTACATTGTTAGATTATCACTATATCTTGCATATTAATAAATGTGAATAAGTATGAAGTACAGCGCTTCCACAATATTTTTTTTGAAACTTATTTAGGCCCGTTTTGCACTTTTTTTTGTAAGGTGAATTAGATTGATCTGTCAGATTTTCGAAGTGTTAGCTGTAAGTTTATTATGTCACGGTATGAAGTTGACACAAGCAAACTGATTGTGATTCGTTACGAACAAAACATAAGGAAAATAGCTTCTGTTAAAAAACCCGAATTGATATAACACGTGTTGCCTTCGATACAAACCTAGACTACATTTACATATGAGCTTAGGTATTCACAGATACAAAGAGATTTTTTTGTAATACTTGGTTATTTGGAGTCAGAGGATCTCAAAATTTCGTTGAACACTCAGAAGTTCGGATTCGAAAATTTTCACGATCGCAATACTTTTCCTTAGGGTAAAAACACCAGTAGCTTGCAGTGTACCAATACCTGACCATCCTCCTCGAAAAATGGTAATTATAAAATCTCAGGACCTCCTGGATTTTTGTTTAATTTGTTTTCTATATTTTCTCCTTATATATTTGTCTGCTTTGCTTTAGTCTTGTTGGAAATCGTAACCGAAATAATGAGTGTCAAATTAGGAAGGTCACTTGCGGTCGACTTACTGACCCAGGAACCACCACTTATCACTAAGGCCAACTTATGTTTAGCTTTTTCTCTTTAACTAGTTTGATTTATTCCAAAATTTGTGTTTTATTGTTTCTTGGAGTGTTTTTAGATTTTTCTTTTTTTTTTGTTTTTAACTTATCTTGATGAAAGAATTGGAAATTTAATAAATTTCAGCTACTTCTTATAATAGAGCCTTTTGCTAATAGCTGACAGACCAGTATTCTCTTACATTCAAAGAGATATACTGAATATAACGAATCTTAAAAATGAGACCATTTATATTACTCTCTTATTAAAAAAAAAAATTCAATGATTTGGATTAAATATAAAGCAGAAATAAGTTTTATTATTTCCGAAAACAGGTTTTTGGCAGAGACCAGCATTTATTGTATTTATTTAAGCCGGAAAACCAAATTTATATAGTTTTATAATAACTTAAAGATAATATTTGTTAATATCAATTTTAAAATGAAGAATATAAAATTTCAACACTTCATTTTTAATAATTACATCCCTGTTCTCCTCCATGCCAGCTATAGGGACATTCCAAATTAAGCATTGTCAGCTACTAATCCAACTAAACTATTTTATAAATAGTTTAGATAGAAGTAGTTCTATAAGATGAATCCATGAAAAATATAAAACCATCTATATTTAGGTTTTTACGCGTAAAAGTTCAAAGAAATTTCCTTAAACTTTTCAGCTGATGGTGCATTAACCTACAATATAGAATAGAATAGAAGAATCAACTTTATTCTGGGACAAAGTTCTTGAGAATAACAATATTGTACATAAAAATTAACATAACATCTGGCCAAAGTGCCTATTACAATAAAGAAACAAAAAAAACTAAAAAATAAGTAATAACAGAAGTATTTACATAACTATACAAATATTTAATATGACGTAATATGAATAATAATAATATTTATTATGAAACAATAAACTATGGAATTCCTGAATGAAATTTAAAATGAACGACAGATTACTTTTGTTGTCATACCATTGTATTAATGAAAAAAATAGTAATAAAAGAGTGGCTAAATATTTATTTTAAATGATTTATTATAGGTAAGTGAAATAAAAAAAGGTGGCGCTGTACGCGCATCACACTACTTTCAAAAGTGCCTGATAAACTAGAGTTGAAGAACCACACAAAACCATCAAATTTACGTATCGATGTGGACTTTTATGTTTCTAAGTCCATAAAACTATAGAAAAAATTAGTAAACAAACACAGAACACGGTTTTTGATTTTGTGTTGTGATTTAGATGAAAACCAAAACGAATATTAATTTTGTATAATAAATCGAATTATTGTATACATTTTTCAAATAATCAAATTTGATTTTTATCTTTGTATACCGATGTATTTTTCTGTCGATTTTGATATTAATTTAGGACCAAATTGATGGCATTTGGTATTCTTTCGATGCGAAATTATTCAGAAGTTCTTTAATTTTTAAAATTATTAAAATTTTCGCGATGAATAGGATAAAAATTGTAAATCATACTCTACAGTGTGGCAAGGATCTATGGTCCATGAATGAATTATTTATGCCGCCTCTGCTTTAAGATATTGAACATTTTAATTTTTAGCATAACTTTTAATTTGTGCTTCATATTTATATTTTAAACAAAACTAGATTTGTTTATATAATAAATTAGTTATTCTATATTTTGAAACTCGTTATCAGACATGACACGGAGAAACAGTTAAACGATTTTAATAATTTTATCATTTCATATTGTTCGCCGTGTTTTGAATTGGTTTTGATGATTATAATTAGATGATAAATTAAAAAATGTTACTAAAGAATAATATAAATAAAAAAAAAAATCACTAAAAAATAACATAAAGGTGCGTTTAAACATTTCACAAACTATGGGACAAACAAATATATAAAAGATTATTTCACAATGTTAGTATTTTTGTTTCTAGTTTTTGATATTTACCTGTGCTGTCGGTATCAAAAATAATAAAATGAATACTTTGGTTTAGCAATAATGTCTGTTAGTTGAGTTAGAATTGTGCTTCCTATAGTTTGTGAAACGTCTAAATGCGCCTTAAAAGTTAATTTTTGATTTTTATCACGGGCGGATCAACGGGAGAGGGTCTTTGGGACTGAAGCCCCCCCCTCCCAAAATGGTAAAATATAACCATGTTTTATGGAAAAAATTATCCCTTAAAGTATTATTGTTCGTGTAATGACATTCAAAAGGACTTTAGGAATCACTTAAACACCATTTCATATAGGTAGTTCATTTCTTTCTTTTTTTCCAAAGTAATTATCGTTATTTTTAATGAAAAAAAAAGCTTTCGGGTTGAAGCCCCCACCCCAAATTAAATCCTGGATCCGCTAGTGATTTTTATTAAAATAAAAATGTAACTAAAGAATGACATAATAAGAATACGAAGAAACAATTATTATTAATTGTATAACTTCATATCTTTTCCCGGATTTTGGATTGGTGTTAGTTATTATAATAAAATTAAGTCACATTTCAAATCAAAATAATTATTAAAGCAGTGTAACTGAAACCATTCACATAATAATACTTATTTTTTATAAAATAAATTATATTTCTCATTAATAACAAGTTTGAAGAAAAATAGTCCTAATTATTTAGTTCATTTTTAAATTTTAAATCTGAGATTATTTATCTATTATTTAGGCGAATTAATTTTTAATTTAATTAAATAAATTCTAATTCTTATCACGAAGAATTTTTTCAAAAACCGTTCAATATGATAGTGATATGTTAGAAGTAAAATAGTTCAGTGTCTCTTTTAGGAATGTCTACAAAACACATAAATCTTAATTAGATACGTGTTGTTTACCTTTTGCAAACAAACAACAGGTAAACTGGAAAGCCATATGGAGTTGATTAGTAAGTTTAAGTCGAAGTGACATGTTAATGTTGTATTTTATTAAAGTATTAAAGAATTACTTACAGAAGTGGAGTATGAGAACGCCGAACGAAGTTATCGGATTAAATCCAACGGGATATCGATTCAAGGTTATATCGGCACAACTGTGTTAAGAGTATAGCCAAGGTAGGGAGGGACACGACACTTTCTCTCTGGCATTCTGTTTGTAACTTTTATATAACTTTTATTTTTCCAGGATTGTATCTTACTGGAGAAATTTTACTAATACAAAATATCGAATACAACTATTAACAAATATAATTTTCTAACGATCCATTATTTTTAAGTAGAACTTGATGTTTCAGTATGTTTACTTATTATTCATATTTAAATTTCCCTGTTTATTATGGCGTTAGTCGATAATACTATCGATACCTCGATAATTTAAAACTAATCGTTAGACGTTCAATAACACTTCCATTTTGGTGAAAAAGTTCTCTTCTTATGGAAATGCCATGTAGTTAGAAAAACAATTTTTGTCAATCGATGTCCAATCTTAATATAGTTTAGTCTATCTTGTTATATATTATTTTTCAAATATATATCTCTTTTCCGGCTCTGAAGAGAGATGGATTTTGACGAATGAGGTATCAATAGACAGTGAATATCACGTAGAGTGCGCGAATCTTGATTTTGATTCCTAATTTTATATCTGGACTTAAATAAAAGTTTTTTTTTTTTTTTATTATTTTAATGAAATTTACAACTGTATTACATAGAGAATACAATAAGTAAATGAGAAATTTGTAACATGGCATGTACAACATGAAGAGAAACTACCCATTGGTAGAACTCAAACTAAAGTTCTATATTAGAAGATCCCGAGGCCATCTTCTTTTCAGACGCCTGGGAGGGTTATCAGGGATCGAGGAGGAAGCAAGGTTTGAAACGAGAGGATTCGGATGGTTCTGCAGTTTGTTATGGAAGGAAAGGTATCTGGATTGGACCAGATCGGAAACATATGGAACATTAAGGTCTTTATGGATGATTTTATCTGTGACAAAGTAAGGAGCGTTGAGGATTTTACGAAGGGTTTTGGATTGTAAGGATTGGATACGAGAGGAATTCGATGGTTTAGTGGAGCCCCAAAGCTCAATTCCGTAAATCCAAATAGGTCTTATTATTGTCATATATACGAGTCGTTTATAATTGATTGAAAGCTTAGATCGTTTGTCTAGTGAGTGCTGCAGTAGTCGAAAACGTCGGGCGGTTTCTAGTCGTTTCAGTCTGGTATGGGGGTTCCACGTTAGTCGTTTGTCAAGGTGGAGTCCTAAGTAGCGGATTTGCTCAACAGGAATAAGTGGAGTATTATTGAAGGATACTGTAGGACAAGAGGTCATAGGTTTACGACGGAGGGTAAAGGTGATTTGATGGGATTTGTTGGAATTTATTTTTATTCTCCAATTTTTACACCATTCTTCAAGGCTTGTGATGTGTGATTAAAGAGTTTGGGATGCAATAGATGGATCGTTATTAACTGATAGGATACACGTGTCATCGGCATAGGTGGTGATGACAGTGTTGGATTGGGTTGGGATGTCAGCTGTATAAACTGTGTAAAGGATAGGACCTAGGATACTACCTTGAGGATAAATAAAAGTAAATGTAAAAGTGGGAGGTTTAAAACCATATGGTGGCGCCGAAAATAACTCGAAAATGACCCAATTTTTGGCCCATTATACATGAGTATTTGAAAGCTTAGCAAATTCGCTACAAATCGTAAAAAAATATTATCGAAATCGGACAATTTGGTGAAGAGTTATAGCTTTCTGAACATTTATTATTTGATACAATACAAAGATTGTGTTACATCTGGGAAGTTATTTATCAAATTGGGAATTTGACCTTATAAATAATTAATTAATTACAATATTAATTTTTTTTTATTTGTATAAATGTGTCTGTCTTCCTTTAAACATTGTTGGTATTTTTTTTTCGATGTTCTTCGATTACAATAGTGATAGTGTGATATTATAACAATGTAAAGGTGCGTTTAGACATTTTACGAAATATAAGAAATTAAATGGTTGTTTTAATATGCTAGTGCTACTTGTTTTTGATGTTTTCCATATGCTGTTACTAACAATAACGGATCCAGAATTTAATTTTGGGAAGGGGGAGAGTCTTCAGGCCGAAAGATTTTTTTTTTCTATATATAATAGGATTATTACTTCGGAAGAAAGAAAGAAACTAACTACCAATATGATATAGTATTTATGTGATTCTTTAAGCCCTATTAAATATAATTAGAGGAACAATAACATTTCTAGAGATAATTTTTTTCATAAAACATGGTTATATTTTAACATTTTTCGAGGAGAACTTCGGCCCTAAATTCTCCTCCCCCCCTTCATAGATACGCCTGTGGTAACCAACAAGAGAAATAAAAAAAGTTGGGCTTAGCGCTAATTTCGCTGTTAGTTAAGTTAGATAATTGTGTGTTTCCCATAATTTGTCAGATGTCTGAACGCACCTTAAGAAAATAAAAGGATAGAAAAAAAAATGAGACAGAAATTAGAAGGCATGAAGATGAAATAATACAATCACAAATTATTTTCATAGAAATATTTTTACACCTGTTGTCTCGGTGGAAAAACGAACATCTTTACCTCCCATTTTTATTTTATTTTTTTCTTAAAAAATTATAAAATCTACAACGATTTCATCAGAATTTTAATATAATATTATCAAATTAATTTTGGGAATTACAGTATTGAAAATTAAAGAAAATTTTTTTTAAATCAAACATAAAATTATACGCATTTCTCTCACTATTCTCTTTTTTTCCAAATAAATCAAACTATACTACATTTCGACCTAGTTTTTTCTTGCTTGATTGATTAAATTTATGAAAATGAACGTAATTTATTTTTCTATATTAAATATATCTTCATTCCAATTATTTGTTTATTTATTTTTTAGTGCTCATATAAACCTTCAAAAATGTATTCAAAAGAAATGTTAATTATTATGACGCAGCTTAATACTTTTTAATCGATAATATCGAATTAATGATAGTGAGTATCGATTTTTCTATATCAGCAGGGATTCTAATATTCAGTGATGCCTAAATAACATGGCTTGGTGTAGCCTATATATCTAGCATTGCCTTCCTCATATAGACTTGATTTTCAATTTGATTGAATTTTGAACTTCGGTTATCAACAAGAGATATTTAAAGGTCTGGACTTTATGTAATTTTTATTTTAGATAGAAAATAAACTTTATTCTGGGATGAGGTCCTTTATGAATAACAATTATGAACAAAAAATAAAAACCACATCTGGCCAAAAATTACATTGAAGAATATACATAGTATCTTCAGTAAAAGTGTATTAAAACAAATAAAAAGTAACATCATTTTGAAAAAAACAAACATTACTTAAATGAAAACAGAAATCAGGTAAAATAAAACTCAAACAATTTCAACAATCATTCATCTCAGTCAAAATTTTTTTCACAATATTTATTTCATTGTATGTCATTTTGGGATGTGAAAAGGAATTTGTAGAGATGATATTTGAATGAGGACAAGGAAGAGGCATGGCGGATATCAGAAGGCAAGGAATTCCAGAAGGCAGTGGATCGGGCAATAAAGGAATATTCGAATGTCTTAGTTCTATGGTTAGAGATATAAAAGTCAGAAACAGGGGTTTAAACTTTGGGAGAATGTAGATGTAGGAAGAGTGTGGGGTGTTGATCGTTTGGAATAGGAAAGATCCAAGGAAATATTGTTTGCGGAAAGGATTTCAATAAGATCAAAATGAATAAACTAGTAATAGTGGTACACTCTTAATGAATACATTTCTTTGTAATATATTTTATGGTCCTAAGTTCTACATGAAAACATATTTTTCATTTTATCATTAATTTTATGCATGGCATATAAATGCTCAGAAAGTATGTTTTGGGTTTCTCCCCAATATAGTAGGAATGAAATTTTATTCTCAAAATTTGCATTAAGTATTTATAAAACCTTAAAACAATAGATTTAATGTAATAATAAAAGTATTCTCAGAGTTTTCTTAAAACAAAATTCTTGAATAATGCTTGATTCACTGATTATTTCAAATCTATTCTTTATTCTATTCTAATAATACTGTTTTTATTATTCATATCTGGTTGCAAATCTCTCACAGATTCTTTTTAAAATATTATTGAACATTGCTTGAAAAATATTACTTATATTAAAAAATGTTTGTCTGTAGTCTATTCTATTAAAAACAAAACTAAATAATATTGAAGAAAATTAATTAACATGTTAGTTAGGCAATGTCATGACATATTTAAATTAAGATACAGCTAATTTTCCAAGACACTGAATATGCAGTAAAAAACAAATAATTTGTTTTTACTCACTACTACTTTTTTTTTTAATGTGTAGAGAACGTTAAAAAATATTGGAGGTAAAAATTTTGAACAGTAAACAAAACAACTATTCAAATAAAACAAAATAAACAACTAATATTACTTCAAACAATATTTGAACTTCTTTAGGCAGTTTAATTAAGTGAATATCTGCTGAGGTTCTATTAAACCATTTGGTAGTAAAATCATTCACAAGATTCAGAGAATAAAAGGGTGTGCCCCCTCCCCTCAGAAAAAGATAACTTTTTTATTTTATTTTTAATAATTTAAAATTATATCCTCCATATTTTTATCCTAAACAAAACAAAATTTGTTTCAAAACGATAGAAATACTTATTTTAAGTTTTGAAAATCATTCTCCCTAAATGAAAATACAAAATAATCCTGTATTACTCAGAGAAACAGTTTATTAGTGTCACTAAATGTAAGTATAATTTTAAAAAGATTTTTTGTTTATAATTAAAAAAAATATATAAATATTTTAAAAGGTGAGGTAAAACACATAATTTTGTAAGATAAAATTTATTATCTAATTTCATTAATGTTGATAAAATAATTGAGCACACTATTTAAAAAGCATTAACACAGTTAAAGTTTTATTATTTTATTTTATTTTGTGTACTCGAGTCCTTACTTAGGACTAAAATGATTTCTTTCAAAACCACATATTAAGAAGAATAACAGTGATATTCTAGTACTATTTTAAATTAATTCCTTAGTGAATTTCGCAGAAAATTAACAATATATAAATTTTTATTAAAATATTTTTAGAACCCCAAATCTATTTGATATATCTTTAAAAAAGGTATTATGATTAGTATGAACAGATCATGTTAAAACTCTCTAAATCCAATCCAAAATGTTATTTTATTTCTGAGAACCCCGAAATTCTGACCTGAAATACTTCCCCATTCAACTCTACTTTCTTTGAAATTGACATTTTTTATTTATTTTTTTTAGAATAAAGGATAGTCTCGATAATTTGAACCTCTGGAAATCCAAACAAGAAAGAAAAAAAAGTTAAAGTTGATTGACAAAAGATATTTTTTATTATAGACAAGTCATAGAAACGCCATAAAGGTATTTAATACTTCCTTGGAATGCACTAACAGATACAATATCCACTACCGAAGCCTGGTACTTTTAAGGAATTTGTAAGGTCAGTTGTTTCCTTTAGCCACAAAATTAGACTCCTAGTGTATAATATATGATCATTTTCTTAATATTCTTTTGTTTGCAATATGTTTATATTTAACTTATAATGTAAACATATATTTTTATTATCTTTTGTAATTTTTCCATCATTTAAATTTAAACTTGATAGTCCGAACATGTCATGTGATCTACGTGTTTCGATTATCAAGACCGTTCTGTATATGAAAATTTCAAAAATTAGACAACTGAGTTTTCATACACCAGGCCTCGATTATATTTTATTTCATACCTTATACTTTATATTTTCAAGGTGTTACAACTTATTATTTAATCAATTTTCAACTTATTAATTGTATATATAGAATAATCTATATCCTTAGTTTCATTTTCTCCTATTATATAATTACTTCAATTATGATAGAAATACTAATTCAATGCAATAATAAAATAAAAGCCAGAATAGCAGCAAGAAATAGAAATAGCTGTTTCTTACTACAAAGATACTTGAAATTCAGATCACTCTCTAAAAGAATCAAAATTCTCATCTACAAAACCATAGTAAGACAAGTGGTTAAGTATGGGTGTGAGACTTGGACCTAAACCAAAAACTTAGAATGCATGCTCAACTCCTGGGAGAGGAAAGTATTGAGAAGATGAGAAGAATATGGGGCGGAATCTTTGAGAATGGAATTTAGAGAAGAAGAAAGAATGAGGAGCTACGGGAATTTTATGGAGAACCTGATATTGTGGTATTGATAAAAATCCGGAATCAGATGGTTAGGTCATGTGGAAAGAATGCCTGATCAAGGAATGCCAAAGAGGATGCTACATGAGAAGCCGGTGATTTTTTCGAGTGATTATGCTTTTTCTTTCTATACTTGTAATTCATTTTCTCTTTTTGTTGTTTTTTTCCAATACAATTATAAGTAAAGATGAGATTTTATTTTATTTTTTAGTTGTTTACATACTATTATTTAAGTTGTTGTATATATTGTATCAAAATTTATTAAGTTAGTTTTTGGCCAGATGTATAATTTTACTTCCATAACTATACTAGGCAAGGAAAGTATTGCGATCGGATCAAATTTCCGATCTATTCGGATCTATACTTTTTAGAGCCCTCTGAGTCTGAAAAAACACTGTTTATGCTTCTTTCTTTCTTTTTTAAATGTAATGAAATTTCCTACAAAACTATATAAAAATTGTTCTTTCGGACAACTATTAACGAAGTTACAGCTATTCAATTTCCAATATAACATTATGGGTTCATATCCTGGTATAAGAGAGAAAAAAGAGAACTAACTGAAATTAAGAAAATCTTTGATAATTTTTCAGGAAAATAAATCTAATCCAATTTTTTTTGTTTCTTTGTGGACATATGTAAATATATAAAAACTTGTCTGAAATAGGTAGGAAAGTCGTGTGAGTGGACACACCAGATTTTTTTCTTTTGTAACTGTTCATTGTTGTTATTCTAAGGGGACATCGTTTTAGAATAAAGTTTATTTTATATTTCTATTTTTATATAGTTTTTATGTTATTTATTTATTTGTATAACTTATGTACGTTTTATTGAACTTTTTCTTACTGTACAAAATAGATTTAAGCATATAAAATAGCAATCACACCACTTTATTATAACATGTGTAAGATAATGTTATCATAAGCATGTAACCGTTATTATGACTTATTATGTTTTATATACATGTAAATAAAATAATTTCTGATTTGCTGAGAAATAGATAAATATGGAAGAATGCACTGAAAGCTCCTTGTAATGATAATATTAACTTAAGATTAAATTATAGAAGGATATATTTTTATATTTAGATATTATGCTTTTTTAGAGCAAATCTAGAAAAAAATTCCTTTCCAGTTCGGAAAAACGAACAAGCTTATTCTCAATGAATTAATAGGCTAAATAACAACTCATTTAAAATAAAAATATATTTGTCTTTAACATGTTACTATATAATCGCAATAATTAAAATCTATTTTATTGTTCATTGTTGAGATAATATAATTTTTTTTTTTTTCATTTCTTAAAATAAGATATGCCTCTCCAGGATTTAATAATTTAGATAACAAATAATTTAAAATATAAATATATTTGTCTTTTACATGTTGCAATATATTGGCAATACTTAAAAACTATTTTTAAAAATTCCTTTTCATATATAATAAAAAAAAAAAAAATTAAATAAGATTATCAGCTTTTCTTATTTTGTTTGCAAGCAATTGCAGCAATACAAGCAGCTCCTAAACCACTTCCATCTTCAGCTAGTATTATTTTAATCTGTAAAAAAAATAATAAATAGAAAAAAATAGAAAAATCATTATTTCTGCTATCATAAATAAATTTTCAACTCACTTCAGTCTTATGATCGATTAACGTTGATATGAAGTCCATCAGGTAATTGTGTATACGAGGATGGTACTTGTAGACAGATCCATCAACAGCGATAGTTATTCGCTTTCTGTCCATTCTTTTGATTACTTCGGAAAGACCTATTCAGAATTCGTGGAATATAAATAATGGGAATAGTATGAATAATAGACAAATTTCAATCTTCTATCCCACAATCTTTATTAACCTTATTCCAATTAAAATAAATTTAAACAATTGGGTAATTTGATGTTCTCCTTATGTCATAGGGCAGTGTAAGGACAAAGCAATATAGCTAATATAAGTTAATATATAAGGAATATAGCTCAAAAATAAGTTTGATATATTCAATGTAAATAAATGTTATGTTTCTTGTTTTTTAGTTTGGTAAGATTATCTATATAAATAAAAATGTAAATGTTCGTTCGTTCGAAACCACTAATCTCTGAAACTTCATCACCGATTGTTTTAAAATATTGACATAACATTTCTATCAGATTCAGGAATGTTTTTATATACATTTAATTGTCCTCTGGCCTTTCATTTTCAAAGGTGGCCAAGAAATTCTGTGTTGCTATATATATAAAATATATTAGAAACATATACCCTCTTTTTTATTTATTTTTCTATTCAACCAGACTGAGCCATAGCAACGCGTGGACGGGTAGCTATTTAATGATATTAGTTAATTTTTATTAATTGCTGTTTTAAAAAAATAACAATTGTCTTTGACAAATAGAAAAGAAAGAAAATGATTTGGCCCTGACTTCTAATGCTCTAGGTCTTGGGTTTGAATCTGGCCGATGGCAAGTAATTATTTATTCTGTTATATCAAAAGTGGATCAAACTTGGGGTAAGGTGACCCTCCTGGGACACAACCAGCCTCTGTAAAGTGGACACTCTTAATTAAATAATTAATTAAGGAGGAAAACCTGATGGTTGAGTGTGATTTTGGCACGCATGCATAACTATTGCCCTTGAGACAGTACTTCCTTACAAAGAACTGAACACAAGACCCTTCATGGGTTCCAGCGGAAGACTTTTTTTTTTTTATGAATGTGATTTAAATTCAAAAATATATATTGAAAGGCATATATATTGATGAGGCTGATTTTTTTAAAGTTAACTAAGTTTTTTACAAGTTAACTAAGGTGAAGTTGAATTTTTATGGTTAAATACCAAGGTGCGGATAGACAACTGATATTCTACAAAAAGAGTGAAGAGTTTTTAGGTCATAAAAATGATGGGTAGGAGCTAAAACTGTGATCCCCTCAAATCCTGGAGAGACATCAAGTTTTACCAGGGCTTGAAGGAAGATATATTCCACAGTTTTTATCAAATTATAATTGTCCATCTAAAGCCTACAATTTCAGTACATATGTTTATGAAAATTCTCAGAAGTGGGATGTTTTATCATAAAATTAATTAATTTATTGAAGAACTCATGAATACCAATTAGCTTTTCACGTGAATAATTTGATAAAAAAATTGAGATAAAAGGGGAACTAAAAAAATATCGGGCTGTTTGTTGTATGTAACCTCATTTTTACATGTTGAGGGTCGCGGTAATGCCAAACGGTCAAATATTTTTGTAAGACACCTTTTTTTACAATTTTGTGATTTAATTATCTTGTGATTGAAGTAGAAGGCAGATGGGTATTCATGAGTTTTTATTACTTCAATAAATAGTCCAATGTGGCATCTTCATGTTGAAAATGCCACATTTTTGTGAATTTTCTTAAATAAAATAGTTGTAGGTTATGATGAGATGAAGCCATTCTCAAACTTCAAGGCGGATGTAAATAATTTAATAAAAAGAGGTCTGTACCATGGACCATTATAGGTCATTTGTAGTGACAGTGACCATTCTTCAGTGTAATAAATCAAACTTGTGAAACAAGTCCTAAATGCTCCAGTCACTAACCTAATCAAAAATTATTTTTTAGTAAGCTAGAGGAAGTACCATAAAGAATTGATCCATAATCAACTATTGGGTGATTAGTCTGATATATAAAAAAATATGAAACACTACGCAAAAAAATATCAGAATAGTTTTGTGAAGATAATTGATTAAACGATCTCATTGATGATGGAGGGCGGTCAAAATGAAACATACTGAATAGAAAAATAAACAAAATAAAGTTTTATTTTTTGTTTAAGATACTTAGTAACAAATAATACTTACCCATAGATATTAGCAGGCTCATTCGGATAGATACTAATTCGCAAATATATTTTAGTACCATTATATCATCTTCTGAACACCAATCTATTCCTAATTCATTAACCAATATTCGCTTAGTATTTTTAGTACAATTCTGAAGATTGTCTCTGGAATATATAAGTAAATGTGTAAAAAAATGCAAAAATAATAACTAGAAAAAGTATTTGATATAACTATAATAACTATAAAAGAATTTGAGTTATCCAAACTTCAATAGTCAAGACACTCTAGTAATCCAAACGCACACAAACTTGAATAACCTATTTAGAACGGCATTATAAAAAGTAAAAATGATTTTGAGCGTAGTACGACCCTCACCAAGTGCAGATCAGAAGAACGAAGAAAAGAACCAACGAATTCCTAAGAAGGGACTGCTTCATCAATTTGATTATTTCTGATGCCTTTTAGATAGGTTATAATAATGATAACTTTGCTGGGCTAACAGAATGATAGTGAAGCATAAAGATACTATGTATCATTTCAGCCACTGTATTCTGGACTATGAAGATTGATACATAAATGGTCTCATATCAATTTAGCTAACTAACTCTTGGCCTCCTCAGTCATTCTTCTCCGCTTCTCTCTATCCTGTGCTTCTCTCTTCCAATTGCCACCTCCTAACTTCATCGGATCTCTTTATATTTCATCCTTCCACCTGCTTCTCGGTCTTCCTCTTTTCCTCTCTCCACTGAAGCACGCTTCCTATATTTTCTTCTGTACCCGTTCATTCTCCATTCTGACCACATGTTCTGCCCATCTCGGCCTACTTGCCTTGATATAGTTAATAATGTTTCGATTCTCTAATATAGCTTCAATTTCATTGTTACTTTTGATTTTCCACTCACCATTAACTCTTGTAGCACCGTAAATCCTTCTTATTATTTTTCTTTCAAATAATTTTACTTTTTGGCAATCCTCTTGGAACAAACACCAGGTTTCCGCTGCAAAAGGTGACTACTGGTCTAATAAGCATTTTATGCAGCTTTAATTTTGTAGCTTTTGATAACATTCGAAACTTGAGAAGTTTAAGGTTAGCATAGTAGGTGCTATTACCAACCATTATTCTGTTGTTAATTTCTTTCCAAGTTAAATTTGCATTATTTAGGGTAGAACCGAGATACACAAATGTGGGTACATTTTTAAAACTAAAATTCTTTATTTTGATTTTGCTGCAGGATCTTCTACTTGCTGCCGAGGACACTTTTAGGTATTTAGTTTTGTTTTCATTGACCACAAGCCCATTTTGTTGCCATTTTTGTATATTATCTCAAATGTCTCTTTTAAGTGCTTAAAGTTAGTAATATAATTGTTAAGAATGTAATGGTTGTGAAAGAGGTAGGCAGTAAACATATGACAATGGGAGATTATATTAGTTTTTAAACTTAATGTGATTTATTAGAGGTGTTTTTATTGGATTATGCTATTAATCTTTAGATAAAATTATAATATCAGAGAAGAGGAGAGCGAGGTGGAAGATGTGGTCTAACATGTGTAAAGAACACTGCTGCCATCAACCTGATAAACAGAAGATTAAGAGTTAAAAGCCCCTCATGTGGAGGGCTTTAAACTCTTACATTAATCTATGGCCTGGAAAAAACCCTATATAGCCGAAATAGCAAGAAATAAAAAAATATATCAGTAAAGTTTATGCGTAAAAGCATATTTTCTTAAGTGCCCAATAAAAATGTTTATATTTTTTTAATGTTCCAGGATGGTTCTCCTATAATCAGAATCATCTTATATCTACTATCTATCATGTTTACTTTCTAAAAGTTATTATATAACTTACTCTTCTATTTCTGATATATAGGAAGATTGAAAACCCTCACTATTTTCTAAATTTTCACTGATTCGGCCATCAAAAACCAGTCCTTGGTTGGCAAGATCCAATAGGACAGCCCTTACGAGCTTTCCAAAAAACTCGCCGCCAACTAACTTTTCAAACCTAAAGATAAAAACAATAATTAATAATTAATAATTACAACATGAATAGTCCATACCTTTTTTTAAAAAAGTTTAACTCACGAAAAAACGTTTGGATGGAGAGATTCTTTATCGACCAAGTGGTCATACTTAGTTTTAACAATATCAGCACGTCCATTGTCACTGAATGGTCCCCACTCAATATTTAAAATTACCTAGAAAATATGTCATAATAATAATTTGTTATGTTAATAAATGAAACAAAAAAAAAAAAATAATAATATATATATAAAAAATAAAATACCTCCTTTTCTTCTCCTTTCCAATTAGGTATACACTCAGTTTTTTCAAAATAGCAAGCGTTACTCCCAGTGCCCAATATTAATGAAATCGCAGTATCACTATCAATTAAACTTCCTCTAATAAGAACACCTTATTTAAAGAAAAAAACAAAGATTGTTCAATATTAATTGTATCTATAATTCATGTAAAATATTAAACTATACTAATTGATCAAGACCAATAATTCGCGTAGTTTATTGGTAAGTGAACAAATGGCAGTATTATATGGAAATAAGTAAAAATGTATTGGAAGTTTGGAGCGAGTCGATTCTAGCAATTTATATATATTTTTTGAGTAGCTTATTTTATTGATAAAAGCAAACACAACATAAACTAATAATTAAATAAATAAATAATTATAAAATAATAATTAAATAAATTAAACTAATAATTTAATTCACAGATTAAAAAAAAATTAAAGATATTTCTTGCAAAGTTTTGAACCGTGAAAACACTTTGCCAAACCAACAACTATAGGATTGGTCTGTGATATAGCAGGCATAAAACTTAACCACACTGCTCTTGTCCCACTTTTATTTTAGGCAATTTATCAAAGCAATGTAAGGATGTTAGACTTGGACCTTAACCAAAACCCAGAACGCATTTTTAACTCCTGAGAGAAAAAGGTATTGAGAAGAATATGGAGTCGCTGAGAATGGAATTTGGAGAAGAAGGAATGAAGAGCTGCATGAACTGTTTGGGGAACCCAATATTGTGGCATTTATAAAAGGAGCCCGGATAAGATGGATAGGTCGTGTGGAAAAAATGTGAAAGAAGATGTTGTATGAGAAGCCGGATGGCAAAAAAAGCAGAGGACGCCCTCGGGTCAGATGGCTGGAGAATGTGGAGGATGATCTGAGGTGGCTGGGTGTTCGAAGATGGAGGAAAATAGCACAATATGGTGGAGATTGATTGACTGTAGTGGAGGACGCTTGGGTTCTTGTAGGACCGTAGCACCATTATTAAAAATAAAACATAAAAATATCTTAGCATGCATAAATTTGGACCTTTTTTTATGTTTTTATTCATTAAAAGTTGAGAGTAATCCATCGGTTTGTAGTAAAAAAAATTAATTTGTTCACTGCAAAAAATATCAAGAGGTAATCCTTTTTTAAAGAAATAATTTTAGAAAATGTGCAAAACATTCTTAAATTTTAATTTTATAAGTAAAAATAATTAAAAGTTCTAGATGGAAATTCAATTTTGAAGTAAGTATGTAATTTTGTTCTTGGATTATTTACCAGCTGTATCATTCAGGACAGCAACAACAGGGACATCAAGATCTGATACTTTTCTGATTGCTTCATTCAACATCTTTACCACATCCTGGCCGACTACACCAGAAGCATTGTAAAGTCCGATCCATGTTTGAAGGCAAGATGAATCGAGAGCGCTTTGAACAGTCGGAAAGGAAAATGTGAAACCTAATCAAACAAAAAAAGGCATTAATTTCAGTTTGATAATACAATTTTTTAAATATTACTTAATATTAGAAACATTGCAGTAATAAAATTATTTTATTGAAATACTATTTGGAAAGAAAAGGAGGAATGATGAAAATTTTTAAAGGAAGTATTCAACAATTCTTTTAAAGTAATAATCAATTCTTTTTTACTTTGATGGTCTGTCATCTGTAGCTATCAGTTTCTTCAATAACCAAACATTATATTTGTAAGTTATATTTAAGAAAACAATACCTAGCGGAATTTTTTCTTTATCGACTCCATGTTTCTTAGCAAACTCTGCTAAATTTTTTGCAAGAAATTCAAAAAGATCAACTCCTGGACCAACTCTAATATGGTCGGGAACATCATAATTGCTAACTTCTTCCCTAACGATCTGACCGTTCTTCAGTTCAACGAGCAAAACTCTGAAATTCGTACCACCAAGATCCAGTGCGAAATAGGTGCCACTTTCTAAAACAAATATATGTATATTCAATATATTTAAATATAAATTCTATCCTATCATACTCGGTTTAAACTGCAAAAATATGTTAAAATGTATTAATGATTCTGACACTGATTAGTTATAATAATTCAAAAATATTTTCAAAAGTGTCTCAATATTATCTGTTTCTTTCTAAAAAAGTTAATTAATTAATAATCAACAAAAAGGGCCTATCTTTCACCCCCCAAAAAAAGATATCAAGAAATAAAATTATATATTAACAATAAAAAACCTTCAATAAGTCATATCACATATTTATTTATATGTAATGTTTTACCCTTATTTTGGTCATTTTCAAACATATCACCTTTATATACCATTTATCATATGTGAGGAAATTTTATTACTTTGTATATTTTTTGTGAAGAATGAAAGGGTTCTGTTTGTTGATTACAAATTAATTAACTTTTTTAGAAAAACAATTTTATATCTTTATATATTATTTCTCAGAGATGTTTTTTTTTTGTGTCAGTAAACCACATCTTCATTAATTTTTCATCAAATACAATGATTGAGCACTCATTTTGAAGATTTTCGTTTCCTTCAGATGGAAAAAATAATCACATCCCTAAGTGGAGATCTGTATTTCACACCCAGAAAAAGCCTCGAATGTGAATTTTCATCAGAATTCCATAGAAAAATAAATTTTTTTGGCATTATTCTTAATTGTATAGATAAAAAATATAATTATAAATAATTAATTAACTTATTTATTTCATTATTTAACAGTAAAGTTGATTAAGTAGCTTTGCGTTACCATTGCCTTTGAGGCCCTGGAAGACGAATGTATTCTGCATGTTGAAAGGCGATGTTCCATCGTATCGTAGACCTTTGACGAGAAAATCACTGAATATTTTGGCCACGGCAAATATCTGGTCTGGAGTCAAATCTAGACATGAAAGAATGTCTCTGACCTAATTGAAATAAAATGTTTTAATATTAATAAAGAAAGAAACAATAATAATTAATAACATGATAATTTAAATGACAAAGTTCAGTCAATTGAAAATATTGTAATTTTAGAAAAATATAATCAAGGTATTTTATTCGATTATTAAATTATTTAATTTTTTTCAGTAATATCAAACTAATATATATTTCTTTGAGGATGTTATGTTCATTGTCTGGCTATGGAACAATTACTTTAAGAAACAAAAACACTTCTATATACTTTCATTGTCCAATAGAAGTAAAACATATGTTAAAATATTTTTACACCTTCATTTCTATGTTCTCTGGTAACCTAATTTGGGCTATCAATAGTTATAATAAAAGAGCTATAAATTTTATTCAATCAATGTTATATATTAATTATAAGTATTAGTTATATAAAATAATAATAATAATAATAATAAGGCTTAGCGAACCCGAAGGTTCGATGCCGACACCACCAATCGCTTGTTACACACCTCCCTCCACCGTTCGCCGTCCAAACCCAGTCCCTTCAGATCAGCTTTAATGCAATCTTCCCACCTTCGCTTCGGTCTACCCCTCCGACGCTTACCATTCGGCACAGCAAATATTAACCTTTTAGGAATTCTCTCGTTACTAAGACCAACAACTTTACAAGCCCATTTGATTCGCCGCGATGAAATTACCTCAATTATATTACCCGGATATAGCTCACGCAATTCGGCGTTGTGTAACCGTCTGAACTCTCCGGTTAACTCATCCTTCTTCGGTCTGAATATTCTACGCAATACTTTATTTTCAAAAACCTTAAGACGCTGCTCATCCCTTAATGTAAGCGGCCAAGTTTCGCATCCATAAAGAACTATTAGTTATATATCATATATATAATCATTATCATTATATATCTGACGTCAATTATAACATACAAACAAAAATCTATAACAAGATTGTATAGAATGATGAAATTTTGCTATTTATTGATATTTTCTACGTATCTTAGTAATTGAAAGATCAAATAGGTAAAGGTTATACATTTTTTTTTCTAATGCCTCTTTATTTGACTTCTGCCATTAGTCTTCTAGCAGCTACGGGGCTGTTCTTTTGATCGTTTGGTTCTCTTATACAAACATCCATGGAGCACGTGGTTTATAATAACCAGACGTGATCACAAATCATTCTCTCTTCATTAGGGTGATTGGCAACCTTTTTCAGACATCTCTATCCTGTTGTTTACGGGATAGGGTTAATGGCTCTGTTCCCAATCTCCAATTTGGAGGACCAGGAGCAATGTTGTAAGACACCGGGGTCACTAACCTTCCTGTGAATCTATGAGTGGGAATGTTGCCCATCGCCATGCGGGAATCGAACCCGCGCCATAGTGGTCTAAGCAATCTAGTAGGGACTCCACTTATTTATTTTATGTTTTTTTTTATATCTCGCGAATGGGATTTAAACTCGTTTCATAGAATTTTTGAAGGCACCCTAACTCGCTAAATGTTGCAAGTAACATGTTGGGAAAAATTGAATTATGATAAATGTAACAGTAATGAGCAGTATTCAACTCTTAACAAATAATAAGATTTATAAGCCCTCTAGGGACTGCAAATATGAGTTGAATTGCAACTAGAACATGTGATGGCTGAAAATCAAGTGATATGAAGTCACTAGATGCTTTGGTAAATTTGAAATTTCGATTCACTCATCTGCAATTGGCCAATTTTAATTTATAATTATACAGAATTTATTTATGTATTCTTTTATTACATAAAAATTTCAGTCGACCCCAAAACATGGGCGTTTTTTTTATATTACTGATGGAATATACGCTGTCAGGTTTTTTAAAAAAAATTTTCATGAATAATTAACTGATTGACTATATAGAAAAAAATATCGATAAAAGACGATTTGCTAAGAATTAAATCCATTTGTCAAGATCCGCTGTTAGAACTAAAGCTATGGTTTTAATGTTAAAAATTTTTCTTAAAGTGTCTATTTTCCTTATCGTAGAGAATACAGACATACAATGATATGTTTTTAATATTTCCTCATTCCACTCACTTAAATTCAATATTTGCTTCATAACCGAGTTGATAAACAAGACCATTAAAGATGCATGTAGATCTTAAAGTGGATACAGATAATTTGGATTCATTTTTCAAGAAACTCAAAAATATTATTGATCATTTATACCACTTGAAACATCAATTAATTTAGAAGCAAATATTCAAGTATTCATTAAAAGTCATTTGTATTTACAGTAATTGTTTTTATAAATGTTAATATAATTGTTAAAGAGTACTATATTCTTGATAGGGGTCTGAATAATATTTATATGTAAAGATATTATTTTTATAAAGATATTTTACTCAATTTACTAAAACTCATAAATTTCTTTAAATAGATTAAATAAAAATTAAGCTTTAACTGGACGATACTAGATGGCAGCACTATATCAGAAATGTTTTTTAACTTTTCTTGTTGTTTGAAAATTTATTTGATCAATAAAATCTTCAATAATTATAGTATCTATAACAAATATATTGTAAATAGAAACAGAAACACTGAAAAATATAATATAAATAGTATAAGATACATCTCAAAGTAATAATTTTATGAAATTACTCGTGTTTTAAGAAATTTAATTTTCCGGTTGAGTTGGAAAAATATAAGTGCTAATGGATAATGATTTCTTTCAATATTTAAATGTAATATACTTTCATTTGTTTGTAAAAAAGAAATCTTCCTTTCCTTTTGATAATTTTTCATATATTCTATTACTTGTTATAATGCAAACAGTATAATAAACGAAACTACTTAAAATCATATAATAAAAATTACAAAATAAATACCTTATTTTCCTTTTCAGGGTCTGAAAGTTTGAGTTGAGTAAGTTTATGGCGTTTAATGGCTTTTTCGACATCAATTAATTCCGGCATTTTCTAAAACAATAACACTAATATAATTGTTCAGAAACATAAATTTAATTAAACATTTCCATGTTAGTGCTTCTTAAATGTACAATGAAAACAGATGATGTCGAAGTCCTTTATTTGGAAACAAAAACTTACTGAAAATAAAATGAAGAGATTACAAAGTAATTAAATATATTAAATAAATATCTCTCTCCCTATCTTTTCTCAAAAATAAAATTGCTGCAAATTTAAGGCTGAAAAACTTCCTAAGAACATGGGTAATAATGATAGTAACTTTAATGCTAAACGACTTCCTATGAAAATGGGTCAGAAAATGAAGTCTTTATCAGTTTCCAGGCCAAAACATGAAATAAAAAAACGTCTTTTTGACACTTTTTGGCAATTGACGATGAAAGGACTTATTACATAAAAATAAAAAGAATAGAAATTAAAGTTATGAAGAATAAGATTAAGAGTGGAATGAATGTTCTTGAAAATCTCTGAACAAAACAATTGGATGTATTACATATTTGTATACATTAAACATATGAGCGAAGACAATCTCTATAACATTGTTACATTTCTATAACTTTTCTAGCTAAAAATTAATAATGTTAAAAATTGAAAAATATTTTTGATTTCTTGGTATTTGCAACTTCAAAATAAAAACGTTTCCACAGTCTGAATAGTTATGTAAAAATTCCTATAAAAAAACATTCACTATAAAATATATATACACTTATTCCTAGTAAATTAATTTTTTTTTTTTAACTTTCTGCAGAAAATGTGATAAGAATATCACGTGAAAATAAATGAGTGAACATGAGAGACCAATGAATCATAAAATCGTACGATATATTGAAATATGATTACTCCTGAATAAAGATGAAAATTTAAATAATGGGGATATTTAGGTCGTGATAAAGTAGTTACGTAGTTTTAGGCCTAACTTATCAAGTCAGCTTTTCTAATTTTGTTAAATGATTTTATTTTAAATATTTTATTCATTTACGTATCTTATTTGTTATGAATTTAAATATTTTTTATTTCAAAATTTTTGGGGAGGTATCGCTTAGTATTTTTATTGGTGGGGAAGGGATCGACTCTGGAAATCTGCGCCTATGGTACAAAACCATTAAAATGAACAATTTCTGTAATTTTAGTTAATTTTTACATTGACAGCCATATAGGAAATATAAGAGAAAGTAATGCGATCGTGAAAAATATCGATCCTAGTTTTAAACGGAAATACACGTTTCAAGACTTTAGTCCAAATAACGAAGTCTCGCCAAAAGGTCTGTGTGGCGTGTCTTTGTTGCGAGCATAACTTAAAAAAAAAATGTAATTCTAAAACATAGAAATTATATATTTAAATTAGTTTTATGCCAGGAATGTTATAGCAACGTTATCGCTAAAACAGACTTATCAGAAGTGCCACTTTTTATCATCGATTTTCTCGAAAACATCTCAAACAATTTTGCGTAAACTCTTTATTCTGATGTAAAGTTAATCGGTCTTTAATATCAATTAGCTGTTATTGGCATTTAAAAATTCTAAGGGGGTTAATCGAACTAAGTACCATTGAATTTAACAACATCGCTAAAGTAACACAAACAGTAAAAAAATATATAAAAGCTACACTAGCACTTGCCCAAATTCCCTTTGATTTCGTTTGAAATTTTTCAACTAGCAATAATTTACCTCGGTAAATGTTCATTGGTTATACGATATTGCCTCTGCGCAAGGTTATCCTGTTCACCAGAAGGGAAGAAGTGGTACTGACCTGGCTAAGGATAGGATGTACTAGGCTTACCCACGAGTATTTAATGAGGAAAGGTTCTCCAACTCAATGAATTTTGTTGGAATTCCTCTCACAGCTGTATGTTCCCGAATGGTTTGTATTCCAATCTCTTAGGGACCAACATCTTTTCAGAAATAGCCTTGAAGAACCACTCCACTGTAATTCTAAACTTAATATTGTTACTTAAGGAAATCAAAATATTTTATAAAATTTAATCACGAAATTGAATTGAAAGCCAGTAAACTTATAATATTTTTATAAACTCATAAAAAAATGAACCTGTACCACTTTATAATTTCACTAATTGTAAATTTATTGTAATTTGTATTTTTAACATAAATCGTATCTGCTAACTCTTATTTCCGTGATTTTGACATTTAAATTGTCCCTTTAAACTGTTAATCTTGTCATTGTAAATATACCTGTTAAGTTTTTTAAGTTAGTAGGTTCTTCTTCTAATTGTTAATATACCTGTTTATTTTTCTTATTTTAATATTTATTTTATATTTGAATGGTTTTAGTCAACTTTTCTTTTTTTCAAGGGCAGATCTACGGGGGAGGGGGGGGGAGGGAAGAGGCTTTGGAGTTTAAGCCTTCCCCAAAATGGTAAAATATAACCATGTTTAATGGAAAAAAATATTAAAAGATGGTCACTTAAAGTATTATTGTTCGTGTAATTACATTTAAAAGTACTTTAGGAATCACTTAAACACCATTTCATATAACTAGTTAGTTTCTTTCTTTAATTTCCAAAGTAATTATCGATGTTTTTATAAAAAAGAAGCTTTCGGGCTGAAGCCTCCCCCCCCCTAAATTAAATCCTGGATCCGCTAGTACTTCTTTTAATATTAATGTTTAGTTTCTATAACTTTAATTCAATTCTATCACCATATTCTACCATAACTATTTTTAAGTTTCTAAACTTTAAATTGTGTTTGTTAGGTGTATTTTTATTGTTTGTGCTTATGTAATGGTTGATCCAATTGTAATATATAGAGAAAATGACCCAGATGGTTATAGAACCCAAAACATTTAAAAATAAGTAAAAAAAAAATTTGTTTGAAAAATCGACAGTAGATAGAAAAGGCACAAACAAGAAACAAAAATAATAGACTAAAGAAACAACTTATTTAGACATTCGTGTTTCTCATAGTTTGTGAAAAGTATTAACGTACCTTTAAGTTTCCTGTAGTTGAAAAACTAACTTGTAAAATTTTCTGAAGTAATAAACGAACACAGAGGGAAGTTGTAAAGCCAAAAGATTTAACAGTAGCAGATAGTAGGAATGCCTTAAATTACATTTTAGAACAAACAGTCAAATGTAATGTAAAGAAGACATTTCACCTCTTGTTTGAATTGTGATTAAAGATAGGACAAAACGATTGGCTGATGTTTGCTTGATAACAAATCTGCATTTGGTAGGCAGTGAGAAAGTGTTTATTTTTCTTTGAGATGATTGGTTGAGCAAACAAAGGTATTAACTTTGTTTTTTAAAGTTATAATTTTCTTCTTGGCAGGTCTAAAAAACAAACTTATCCCAACATTAAAAAAAAAATAAAATAAAACTTATCAGAAATTGTTCACTACCCTCCTCATAATAATTGATAAAAAGTCCTAAAATTTTCCGCGTCTCGTTCTTATGCGGGGAGGGGAATTATGGCAGAAAACATATTTTTTTTAGTTTTTTGAGAATATCTCAAAAACTATGAGGTTTTTGCAGAGCTTGTTCAATACAATATTAAAGCACTTTAAAATATCAATAAAAATGATCCTATAAATTATTTTGATAAAATCAACGGTTACAGAGATATTTAAGAGATTGTATTTATTGCATTCCCACATTAAGCAAAAATGACCCCAAACCATGAAATTGATGTTTATAGTAGATCAGAAACGAGACCATGGTTCGTAGCAATCTAAGGCGTATCCACGAATGGAAGGAGGGTTTCGGGCTGAAGCCCCCCCCCCCTTCCCAAATGGTAAAATGTAACCCTGTTTTATGGTAAAAAATATTAATATATTATCTCTAAGAGTATTATTGTTCGCGCAATTTCATTAAATAGAACTTCAAGAATCACTTTAACACTGACATAGGTAGTTAGGATCTTTCTTTTTTTCCAAAGTAATAATAGTTATATATATATGAAAAAAAAAATCTTTCGTACTGAAGCACTCCCCCCCCTTCCTCCACCAAAATCAAATCCTGGATTCGCTAGTGGTAGCAATGTGAGGTTGGGTGAGCCCCTTCGTGCTATCTGTGCTCTTCAAATAATATACGTCTGTAAGGAGGTCATATCTCGCGGCAAAAGACGTTCTATAGCGCCAACTGATATATATATATATATATATACATATATATATATATATATATATATATATATATATATATATATATATATATATATATATATATATATATATATATATATATATCCAGGTCTCAAAACGTTATGGACAAGTTCTCCATAAGTCCCAATTAGTGTATTTCTAAACAGTTGTGGAAATAAATTTATAAGCACTTTATTAGTTTTTTTGTTTTTATTTATTCATCACATTAACAGAAAGTTATTGTTCATATTCAAAATTGGATATTATCAATCGACATTTGTGAATCTCAAACAAGTTATTAAAAAAAAAATAGGGATATATAATTACAATTTTGAAAAAAAAAAAATATACTGATCTAAAATTAAATGTTTAATTTTGCTTATCGTTGTTTTTCTCACGTAATATTTAATTTGTTTAACATTTCTGCTATATGAAACGAGATGTTATCATACGGCAAAAAAAAAATATTTAAACAATGATTTAATTCTTCGAATTCGTAGTTTCATTATATAACTTCGTAGTAGAAGCGTTCAAGTCTCTCAAAAATTAAATTGTGTAAGTTTTATTGAAAAACTTTAGTACATATCTGAATAATTTAACTGATAAGTAAAGGCAGTCCATATTCGTTTACTATATTTTTGTTCCCCAACTCTTCCATGGCTCGGCCTTCAGTAATTGGCTAAGTTCTAGAGAAAGTTCTTAAACTCAGCGCTTAAATCATCGATGGCTTCAGATTCGTCTCCAAACTGGCCTAAACGATGCCATCGATGCGTTTATGGACTTCTGATGAGAAATGGTCGATCTTTGGAGAAATCTCGATTGTTTAGTAATTTAATGATAATAACTTAAAGCTTATAATCATCGAATCTTCTTAAATAATTCCATTATTTAATACGACAAAAAAAAATTACAATGGATTATATTGATCCATTGTAATGATAATGTTATCATTATCATCAGTTGATTGCAATAATATAATTGAAAAATGGAGTAAACAAAAGATGATGTGGTTCTTTTTATCAAAACTCCGAATGTTTTAATTATGTGAAAACCTCATTTACACATTGCCCAAACACTGGCAGGCACGAGTGTGTAAAAGGGATGTTATGCTTGTTTCTCTGCATTCGAAGATGGACCCGTCTACTGTGATTTATAGGGACAAAAGAAATTTTGAAAAAAGGAGGTTTGAATAATGCAAGTTGCGCAATCAAAATTTTTGAAGAGGCGATATTTCGAAAGAATAATGAATTTTCGGATTGTAAACCATGAAGCATGGAGAAAACATAGAACAAACCATTAAAAAAGTAATTGTATATAGGGTTAAGGTTTTTTAACTATACTTTCGCTTGCATTGTTTTTCAATGGGGAATGTTATGAGAGTTGAACAATAAAATAAATTTCTTGGGAAGGAGAGGTGGGACTTCGCATTCCGGTGGCGGGGAGGGGCGATTTTAAATCTGGTATTAATCCTCTGTCCTCTCATATGGCTCAGGGAAAATGTGTAATCAAAACGGCGAGGAAGGGGAATAAAAAAAAAAATCAAGTTTTTTTTTTTTATAGTTTTCTTTTTAATATAAAAGTAATTTAACAGTATAGGACTTCAATGGAAGTCTTGGGTGAACAAAGAAAAAAAAATTAAACCAAAGTATATCTACATTCCCACAAATGTGTTGAGACAACCACCACAGAGTTGGTTGGATGTTTTGCTTTCCAAGTTTGTACGTGTTTGTTTTTGCGACGTTTGGGAAACGTATAAAAGTAACTTAAAACATGAAGGTTTACCCAATTCACAAACTATGGGAAACTCGAACATGTAAATGGGCTGTTTCTTTTAAGAGAGACCAAAGGGGAGGTTGGGTAAGCGGTAGTGTCGCTTACACATATTTATTATTGGTGTTGTTTGAGAGAAATTTTATTTAACGCTTCCTGGCACAAGCGGATCCAGGGTTTAATTTTTGGAGGGGGGCGAAGAGGGGCTTCAGCCCGAAAGTTTTTTTTTTTTTTTTAAATAATGTTAATTACTTTGGAAAAAAAGAAAGAAACTAACAACCTATATAAGTGATTCCTAAAGTCCTTTTAAATGTAATTACACGAACAATAATACTTCAATAGATAATTTTTTAATATATTTTTTCCATAAAACATGGTAGCCCCCCTCCCCGTAGATCCGCCCATGGTTCCTGGTACGATTTAAATGGATTTTATTCGTCCACCATCTTTCTTGAAAAGTTATATGCGTTCTTTTACTTCATTTTGTTTTCTATTATTTCTTTGTAAAAGTAATATGATTACGGCTAATGCGATTAATACAACATCCGCTATTTTTGTTTCTTTGAAACTGTAAAAACCCAGGTTCTTTTTTTTTGAATGTGGAAACCCGACTTAAAATAATAAATACTTCATAAGGAAGTCGCAAACAATTAACAGTGATGTTTACTACAGATTAAATTATTTGATCAGAATTCTCTTTTCATGACTAATTGAACAAACAAACTTGTTAAGTGGCCACGTCAGGCCTAACATGAAACAGGAAATCCGAGAGAAGAATGCTCTTGAAATGTCTTAATGGAATCGGAGACCGGTGGTGAATAGATGCTAGTAAACGAAATTGGGTTTATATTTTAGTTGATTTAAAATTTAAATACACAATATCATTGAGAAAATCGTGTAAAATATCTACCATCACGATATATTTACACAAACATATATGTACATAGGAGAGCAGGGATGTCCAGAAGGGAGTTTCATCAACATTTTTGAGGGGGAACAAAATATTTTGAACGGTTTTTGAATTTCTGAGGGGGACGAATTTCGATAGGGATATGAGTTTTCGGACTAAGAGACTTCTTCTTCTTTCTCTGATGCCATTCCCGGTGTCGAGGAACCTCGATCCAACACAGCCACGCCTCTCGTTCTAGACCAAGCTGCCTCATCTCTGGGAGAATTTTCTTTTCTCTCTCTTCCCTCCAATCTGCTATATGTAATCTGCTAGGAAATTCTAGGACGACCTCCCGGTATCCTCCCAGTGGGTCGAATTTCCATCATTTTCCGAGGTTCACATTCATCATCCATCCGACAAACGTCGATTTCAAGCGTAGTCTTAAGCTCTACCACTTCAAACAGGGGAAGAGGTTGTTGAAGGAATAAGAGACGACAAAAGAAAGACATGGAACAGATTGCAGCAAATGTAATTATGTATGATCTACGATTTTTCTAATTTTAGTCTGTTTTTAAGAAATGTTGAGCAATAAAATATCTTAGATGGATGGGGAGAGGGGAGGGAATAGATTCTTGCGCCGTCGACCTTGGAGGAGGGAGGATGGGCACCCCTGCTTTGGGGCTGAAGACTCCCCCATTCGTTATTATTTAAATAATAACGCATACACAACGATATGTAAGCCCGTAAATAAATATCAAAAGTTATCCTTAAAAGTGTTATTGTTACTATGATTACAGTTTTTTCTGTATTATTATTTTTTTTTTAGGCCTGTCTTAAGAGATTATTTAAACATAATTTTACATAGTATCCTTCTTTTTTTACATGTAGAGTAATTAACATTATAAAAAATAAAAAAAACATCTGGTGCGCGCATCACACAACTTACCGCTCTAGTTTGAACAGAATTACTTTTTGGTAAAGATGTGGTATCACAAAATTTTTTAAAATGCATTTTTGAACGGAGTTAAACCTTAAACCTCACTGCTAACTAAATGTAAAAAATTCATTAAGATCTTTAAAATAACAAAAACCCAATACATATATATACAAACACACAGACCATGGTGGGAGATTTATTAATTTGGATTAAAAACGTGTATTTCCGTTGATAACAAGTTCGAGAATTTTCACGATCGCAATACTTTCCCGTACTATATAAGCACATATATAAGTAAGTAAAAAGAAAAAAAAAAGTTACCCATTTTCAAATATATAACATCCCTATAGTGAATCACATTTGTTCTGGATCCTGGGTTCGAGTCCAGCTGTGGCAAGTAATTATTTATTTATTACACCTGTCGTGGATCGAACCTAGGGTCGAAAATCTCTCTTGGGGCACACCCAGTCTCTATAAAAAGGATATTATTAATAAAATGATCAACAGCGATGAAAAACTTCGCAGTTTTTGGTGCGTGAATTTGATCAAATCATCTCTTATAAACATTGGCCAAAAGACAGTAATTCCTTATGAAGTATTTAATCCAGTATCCTCATGAATTGTACCGGCAAAAAAAATCCTGAGTACGTTTATATAATAAAAACTATTTCAAATAATTTTCCCAAAGAAGTGACACCTAAATAAATTCATAAATAGTTTCTAAAAATATAAAAGTTATAGGTGAATAAAGACGTAATTACATTTTGATTTAGAAATATTTACATATATGCAGAAATTTGCTTATCAAACTAGTCTGTTAATCAATAATACATACATGTAATCTGAAAGGAATGTTATGTTAATCTTTTTAATCATTTGTATTGAACATATTTACAATGTTTATATTGAGAATAATCTTGGATACTTACAATATCCCTCTGTGACAGCCAACGACTGATTAACTTGTCAAGTGGTGTGAGCTGGTAGGAGGTTATCTTTGAAAGCGCCAAAGATATCCAGTGAGAATGATACACGCAAGTCTCTCCAGTGCTCTGATGTTTAAATTTAGAAAGAATATTTATCAATTTTTGTAGTCATTTTCGTGTTAAAGTCACAAGAGAGAAGTATAGCTTACTAAGAAAGATTAAAAATGAAACTATAAGTAAGATGGATTACATTTTTTTAAAATAAATGCTTCACTGACATTGTTCACAACCTTTATTAGCACAAACGTTTATAATAATTACGTCAATTTGAATTAGTTATTTATTTGGGTTTGATGTACCTCTGTAAATTTATTATTTAAATCAAATAAATTATCAAGGTCATGTTCAAATCACTGATAACAAGAAACGAGCAATCGATTATTGAAATATTTCTAAACTTTTTATAAAATACTGCTGTTTATGTTTTTATTGTGATTAAAAAAATTAATAGAATTTTATTATTCATAAATAAATCTTTCAGCCAATTCTAAAAGCAATGTATTCTGCTAAAATGCATTTACTATAGTTCGATTTCAACTTATCACAGATCGATATATTTCAAGAATCGTTTTAAGCAAACTCCCTGTTTTATTCAAGTTTGTTTTGTAGTGTTATTTTCACTTTATTTAAGTTTATCTTGAAATTATTATCGAAATGTGTGGACGAGTTTGTTGGTAAAGACTCTGTTATTCATTTAAATAAACATTCAGTTAATATAATAGCTTGTCATTGATATAATTATTATACTTTAATATATTTTAGACTTTTCTATTCCTATGAATTTGTAATGAAATAAACAATTTAAATGAAGTTTGTCATATGTTATTAATGCCGAAATCTTAGTAAAAATATAGTTTTAATTTTATCATTATCATACAGTGTTATGAAAACGCCTGTGTTGAGATCATATTATTGGTCTGATGAATGTTAATTTTATTTAAGTTGAACTTATTATTAGTCACTCTAATGCTATAAGTTACCAATGTTCAATGATAATTGGCGTTCTGGTATTGAGGTAAATTAAAAATGACAAATATTAGCTTGGCAAAGCTGGGAAATTATGTTACTTGCAGTTAGAAGTAGTTATATATCACTATGTAGTATGCTTTGAAATATTTGTCGATTTCTTGCATAGTTAAGTAATATTGATGTTATTATATTCTGTTTCTTATATCTATGCTTGAAAGCTCATTTGATCAACTTTCGTTTCTTGTAAAGAAAGGGTCTGTAGTTAATTGGGTAAGATGGAATTAAGTTCATTATTTTAAGTATTTGAAATGGCATTCACTAGAACATAAATGTCTGTAAGAATATTGTTCATTATCAGCATTAAATTCATGAGGTGATCCCTGTGCCCAGAACATTGAATGTCAAGTTATTTGCTAGCTATGAGATGGTAATGCAAATTTTCTGGTTCAATATCATCATTGGTCACAAAAAAAGTTACTTAATTGTAGATAAGAATACATGATGTGTCTAATGCATCGAGATTTATTTATTGGGTTCTGTGAAGAAATTTAACTGTACTTAAATTTTTCGACGAACTAGAATTCATCATAAATTTATATTGTTATAAAAAACACATTTAAAACCTTAATGTTCCCATCGTTAGAACAATTATTGTTTTTAATATATGTATTCCTTTTGTTATTTAATTTATTTTTACTGGTCACATAATAGTTAAAATATATATACATAAAAAAATAAGCAGTATTTTTATTGTCAGGTTTTCACATCACTGAATGCTTTAAGATAAATTTATAATGGACTATGGCAACTATTAATTTAGAAAAATAAATTGTTTGAAAATGGTCAATAATAAGAGGTTGAAACATTTTTGTTCATAAAATATCTGTGAACAATATAGTGATATTTTTATACCTTAACATGATTCTATTAATATTAAAATTTAAATAACGATACTACTAAAAATAAAATAAAACAAAGATAAATGTTTTTCATAAACATAGAGTTGTTATTGTTTGATTTGCTGTTACTTTAGTTCTTTCCGAAATATATTGTTCTTAAGGCAGATATATATGTTGTGAATATTTAGCATTAAATTTTATCTCAAAAGAACTTCATAAATTTAAGAAAAAACTGCAGGCTACATTTACAGTTCTGTTCAATGTCTATAGGTTAATGAATCTGAAAATAACTGTCAAATAGCTACTGATAAAATTTAAAAATGGTTTAAAAATACATAAAAATAGGAAAGATTTTATTCACCCACCCTTATTCAAATAATTTTAAGAACTTTTTGTTATTTTTTAAGGACATATCTTGAAGTAAATCTTGACTTAGTGTAAAATTGTATTTTTCTTCTTCAAACTTCCCTCAAATATTGAGGTCAAGGATGAAAAGTATAAATTTGACAGTCTTTCTGATATTCTCCAGCTCAGAACATATCTGAAGGATATGCTCTGTATTCCGGTAGCCTGTTCTTTTTCTCATAATGGTGTACCCTCATCCTGTTGTGACTTGTTCTGAGTAAAACTTGCTTTTTCATTCTCACTTTAATATTTTAAATCATATTTATTGAATGAATTATTATGCTAATTTTAATGTACTACTTCTGTCATATGGTACTGAATTATTTTATAGTATTGTTGTGATATTTCAGTGCGCTATGTGCACCTAAATATGAGGAAGCTTCTAGCTACTACGATGATGTTAATGATGAGTATAAGAAGCCGAGTTTTATAAACTCAGATACATTGAAATTCATTCCTTCTACCAATCTTTCTCCGAGCGAAGCAGTACCTGTTTTGGTTTGGGACGCAGTTCAGAAATGTCCTATTATCAAGCCTATGGTGTGGGGAATGATTCCTCCTTGGACTTCGGTTAGTTTAGTTTACAAATATTTTTCTACTTACGTAATAAAATATAATATATATTTATCAGATTTGACATCTACGCTTATGCTTTATTATAATACTAATTATAGCTTTTATTATTCTAATATTAGGGAGACTATAAAAGTGGGTCTTACACAACTCATAATTGTCGCATCGAGAATGTTAAAGAGTCTCGCTTGTACAGTGCACCTTTGACAGCTGGTAAAAGATGTGTGATATTGTGTGAAGGTTATTATGAATGGAAAAGTACTGTTGGAAAACACAAGCAGCCATGTTTTCTTTACAAAGCTCAGTCTCCTGGGGTAATGTTACTTTTTTCTTTTTAAATTATTTATGGTTATAGTTTTGAAGTGCTACTCCAATCTGATAGCTTGGTTTAAGATCACATTACCATTCTGTATTTTGGAAGTAGCAGAATATTCTCACTTTTATAGAATGTTTAGGTTACATTGTATTCATGTTGGGTTATATTGTATGTGATAAGTAGAGACTGGATTTCCGTGCAATAAAAACCTAAAAACGTGTAACATAAACTCAAAATGTGCAAAATCTTATAGTAAAAACCTGAATATTTGTTAAATTTTGTTCATAAATGAAAAAAAAAATATCAATCTTTAAATATAAATTATTTTGAAATTAATTTATAAGTATATTTTTATTTTAAGATGAAACCAGAAAACGAATCTCATTGGAGTGATGGTAAGTGGTCCAAATCTCAAGGTTGGGTTGGACCATCCCTTACGTATCTTGCTGGTTTATATTCAGCTTTTGAATCAAAAAAGGTAAATATTATTTTAAACTATCCAACAAGCATGATTTATTTTTAGAATAAAGTATCAATAATCATGCTACAAAAGCCATTAAGTACAATTTCATTCGAGAGTTTAGATTTGAGCTTTTCTCTTTTATAAGAAGAATCTTCATTGTTTATTCATTTTAATACTATGGATAGCTTTTTACCTCAATATTATAATAATTAACCGTATTATTAATTACATAATATCCTATTTTTAGGATAGTGAACCTATTTTGAGTAGTACAGTAATTACTATGAGGTCATCACCTGCTGTTTCTCACATACATCATAGAATGCCTGCCATTCTTTCATCCCCAGAGGTAGTCAAGGTGTGTTTATTAAACATTTGTATTTATTTATTCTTTAAATACATTGTCTTTGTTGATATACAGGATGACTGAGTTCTTAATAGCCAAACTCTAGGGGATGTGGGGAGCGTGATTGTTGTTTTTTTTTTTTTATTCATTGATATTTACAACTGTATTATAAAAAAATACAACTAGTAAATGTGCACACAGTAATAATACAATCACATGAAAACGCTTGTTGAGAAACTACCCATTGGTAGCACTCTAAGAATATATTTACATAAGTAGATCACGAGGCCATCTTCTTTTCAGACGCCTCGGAGGGAGGGTGATTCTAGACGAAAAAATTCATTTGATGCATCGGTCGATTCCGAACATAAAAGGAGTTAATACTGGTTTTGTGTCTTCCTTAAGGTGGTCATGTTTTTTATTGAATAAGAAATTGCTCCATTTACATAATTATAAGTATTTAAGATAATAAAACTTTTAAGCACACCATCGTAAGATTGAGAAAACTATCTTTAAGAAAACAGTGATTAAATTTACTGAGGTCAATAATAAAATGGACTTTAAGGAGGTCTAATATGATTGCCGTACTGCACCTCCGAATCGGGGATACAGAGATATACTGCTTGTGTATGGATACTGTAAATAATGTAAGAGCAGCAGTACAGCGGTCGTATTAGACCTTCCGAAAGTTTCCTTTTGTCATTGATCATTAGTAAATTAGATCATTGTTTTTTTTAAAGAAAGATTTCTCTACTTTATGATGGTGTGCTTAGAATTTAATAATCTTGAATATTTTTTGAGCAATCACTTCTTATTCAATTAAAAAACATGATCACCTTAAAGAAGACACAAATATGGTCTTAACTCTTTTTTCGTTTAAAATCGGCAAATACATCAAATGAATTTTTTAGTTGGAAATTTTGTCTAGAATCATCCCTTCCAGAATTTGTCCAATAATAACTGAGATATCCTGTATATAGCTATAAAGCAGTCTAATTTCGTCTATCACGCTCTTTCTCAAACTCAAACTCATGTTATTTCTGACCCTGCGTGGTTCAGTCTATCTGAATACTTTAACTCTAACCATTCCAGCTTCGTAACAGTTTCGAGTTTCATTTTATACTAATTAACTTTGTCTTTTATAGTAAGTTCACCGGTTTTCTGCTTGATTTTGAATCACTAGTTTCTATAGCTTAACCGCTGCGGTTCAGTCCACCGTTTAATTTCCAGGACTGCCAGCTGTGTTCTGAGGTTAAGTTGCTTTAATTAAATTTCTCTTTTTCAGTTTGATTGAAGTGTTTCATTTCTTTTGTTGTTTTTCATCCATTTACCTTATTTTATTTATTTAACTTTTAAATAAGGAGTGCTCTAGGACCTAAATATGAGCAAATTAGGAGTTTAGAATGGGTTTTTCAATTTTTGTATGATACATTTTTATTGTAGAAATAATAATAATTATTTATATAGATGAGGGAGTGGGAGCAGCTCAGTGAATAAGGTTTTACTCCTGTGCTGCAGGTTTTATGTTCAAATTCGACTATAATAGATAAATATTGTAATATACACGTTTATTGGAAGTGGATAAAAATGATTTAATAAATTAATGTTGAACAATTAAAAGGCAAGCTAATCTAGTTCAACTAGTGCAGGGAAAAGAAAATGGCTACTCTGTAATTTCCCAAGAAGGAAAATCCCAAAGAGGAGAGAGACAAAGGTGTTTATTTTGGCAAGCAGTTGTTGTGTGGCTGCAATGAAGAGAGGATAGGAGAAGTGATCCTGGCTACATTGGGAAAAACCCAGTAATAGAATAGTGTTACCAATTTGGAAGAGTTGTTTGGCAGAACTTAGGAAAATGTTTGAAGACAAATGAATTTAGTGCAACAAAGGAAGGAAGAGTGTATATAGAAAAAAGGTTAGCTTGCCAATCCAAATTTGACTTTATTTTAAAATCAGTGTTTAATTTTAGTATAAATAGTGTAAATAATAATAGTTTGTCTGAGTTGATCTGATTGTCAGTAACCCATACCTGAGATAAATAAATATATTAATTCTCTAATAATTTGGTTTATTATTACACAACCTCTTATTTATTTAGGAAGTATCCCAATGGTAATAAGTGAGCTTCCGAGGTTATATTATTTATTATTTGTAAAATATAAGAGACATGTAACAATATTTACGCTGTTTTATCAGCGGTGGATCGACTCTAGTGCCAGGAGACCCTCCTGGGGCCCACCCAGCCTCTATAAAGTGGGTACTCTTGTTTTAAATAACTAATTAAGAGTAAAAGCATGGGAATTGAGCGAGATCTACAAAGCTTAATTATATACCTTTTTTTTAAATTTCCTCATATTAACCTTATTAAATTTTATTTTTTTCCGTAAAAACATCAATAGCATGTAAAGTATAAAACATTTTCTATAATGTTTTATCTCAAAAAAATCTTTAGCTATGCTAGATACTTAGTTTAATTTTATTTGAAATGCATCTATTGCAATTCATTTTATTTTATCTTCTTAAGGATTGGTTGAATGCTGAAGATGTCAATATGAAGGAAGCAATGACTCTCCTCGAACCTACGGAATCTGTACAATGGCATGAAGTTTCAGCCGAAGTCAATAGTTCCAAAAATAAACTCCCTACTTGCAATAAACCTGTTGATACCAAGTAACTTATTTTATGTTATTATTAAGTTATGTTAAATTTTATATTCTAAATTTGTTTATTTTATTATGTATTATTTTTTTATTTTAGAAAACAAGGTGGAAAACAAATGTCGCTTACTTCTTTTTTTAAGAAACCTAAAAAAGATGATGGTGATGATGAGGCAAATCCTCCAAAAAAACCTAAGAAGAATTAACTAAACCTAAATTGGTTCTTGTTGTTTATTAAAAGCTTAAAAAGGTTTATTCAAGTTGAATTTAGATTAATTATGGCTGTGAAGTTTTACCTGATTTATGATAATATATTAATATGCTTCAATGAAAAAAGTATATTATTTATTTATTTTTTTGTGATTGTAGTCATTGTTCTTGTTAAGATTGTTTTGAACTTTTTTGTGTTAATTGCTATTTGCATATTATGTTTATTTTAAGAATTCTTGTGTTTCAAACTTCTATTTATATTAAAATATGTTTTATATATTAAATTTTCTAATTTTTTTTCAGATAAAAAAAAAATTGTTCTTTCGTATTTTTTTTTCTTCTAGATTTTGTTTTTGAACTTAGAAATAAAACTTAAAGTAAATAATCGTTCGTAGTGTGTGTACACCAATATCTTCAGGGCTCAGATAATGAATGAGATATAATCGAATCTATGTATATCAAAAATCTATTTTTAGGAACTTTGGATTTTTGTTAAAATAAATGTTATGTATTTTGAATAAAATTTCTATCTATTATACTAATAGTCACAGTTACAAAAAATATAAAATGCAATAATCATTAAATAAAATACCATTTGTTTTCGTCCATAAGATGGCTACTAAGTAAAAAAAAAAAAAAAAAACTTTACCACTACAGCCCACGATGGGTTTTAGGTTCAGTACTTTGTCCGAGTACCGAGATCATGTTCAACTATCAGATTTTTCCTGTTTATTAGTTATTTAATTAAGAGTACCCGCTTTTATGAAGTCAGCCTAAATCTCTGCTGCATTCAATCTGTTGATAGATATCTTTGATTGAATTAATGCTGAGTTTAGGAACTTGCCCTGTTATTAATATTATTTAGTTAAAGCTATTATAAACATCAATAACCTTTAAGCATTTTAAATAAAAGAAGGAAGAAACAAAGACATATTGTAATTAAGATGTATTTGACACCTTATAAATCAACATAATATTTTACATAACTTAATTTATTTTATTCCTTGGTTTGATGTAGTTCTGGTAATAAAACTTTGAAAATAAATAAAACATAAGGAAGTTCTGTGATAAAAATACGAGCAATGCTATTTTAGGGTAGTTGCAGCTTGGATTGATTAAGGCACTTAAGTGATGAAGAAAGATCAAGAAAAATTGAGTCTGTAAAAAAAAAAATATATATATATTTATTAATTCCTTCATAAAATAAACATTTTAATAAACAGAATGCATCATTTGGAAAAAAAAAATCATTTTTGGTAGCTGTTTGCACCATTTTATTGTTGAATTTGGCTGCTTTTCACACCAAAGCTCCCTCTCTTATTTGAATTATATTGCAGCTCAAATTTACACTATTTTCCTCCATGAAATGATCCAATTATTAATTATAGATGATTAAATCATTCTTTTCAGTGTTTAAATTATTTCAATTAATGTGTATTTTTCTAAGAATTATAAGTCTCATAAAAGTTTATCTGAATCATAACTTAAAATATCTGACTCAACCATTTGCATGACCTTTCTTACTAGTTTACAAAATCCAGTAAAAACATTATTTGGTTATACTAATAATGTTTGTTAATAAATATTTTATTATTTTTTTAACATTTCTTTTTCATTTAAAGTTAGGTTTTGTTGAAGATTTTATCATTTTTTAAATATGCATCTGGAATGTTTTGGAGGATGACTAATAATCCAGTTATTCAAGAAACTATAGAAAAATGAACAAATTTATTGGGGTTGGGAATCTGCAAATATTTTTAAAACATGGGTACCCTGGGCCGTTTTGAGGGGAAACAAGGCGGAGGAGCTACTACGAATTCCTAAATAATCTATTAACAACAGTTAGGTATTTCAACATATCAAAAGAAACAATTACGGAATAAAAACTCATTCTCCACCCTTAAATTAATTGCGTCCCTTTTGGTTACACCCTTGGGTTCAATGTACAATTTCTTGTATTTTGATTGTATCAAAATTACTTATATTGGTCTGATTTAGACAATTTTTTTTTTTTCGTTGTGGAGAGAATTTAGTTACCTTACAAACAATGGCCTGAATTCTAAAAAAACTTTTTTTTAATAATGTACTATATATAAAAATTTGATTGCTGTTTAGGTATTAGGAAACAGCGTTAGGTTTTGTCTATTTTGTTCAGCATGCTAGATTAATGTCTCAGATATCGGGAGCTGAAACCCCAAAATTTAAAAAACAAAACAGAAAAACATCCTTCCGTTCAAGAAGAAATTGTGACATAGAAAGATACACAGAATTATGACAAAAATATATTTTTTGGACTCACTGTTTTGAAACCTAAATAGAAGATAGAAGAATCAACTTTATTCTGAGACAAAGTCCCTTCAGAATAACAATATTGTACATAAAAATTAACATAACATCTGGCTAAAATTTATATTACAATAAAAAAAACAACTAAAAATAAGTAATAACAGAAGGATTTACATAACTATACTGATGTATTAAAGACATAATATGAGCAATAAGGTCCTAATACTGCAAGATAGTTACTAAAAACAATAAACTATGGAATTTTTAGTGAGATTTGGAATGAATGACAACTTACTTAAAATATCTTTTAAATTTGACCTGATTGAAATACTTTTCTTTCATATTAAGCAGCAGTAGGACAATAAAAAGTGTTAGTAAAAATGAGGATAAACAAGTGAACGCCCCAGCTCTCACAATAGTAAATTTCTCCTGCGAAAGGATCCCAAATTTTTTGTATCTGGTAATGCGTGTCACCACATCTAATAATATGCCTCTCGATATTAGTCGGCGGTTCATGGCAGTCAACCAATGCTATTTTAAGCTTACAAGACAGATTATGAGCAGCCTCATAACTATAGGAACAAAGCTATATTGGGCTCTGATTTGAACAATTCTTTTCTAAACTTCCCAAACCTGAATTCTAACTAATCCAGATGAAAAAGACCTGCTAATTTTTGCAAGAAAAATAATGAGAAGAATATACCGCTCTGTTAGAGGTGGTGAAGCATTGAGAAGAAGGAAGAATATGTAAATAGTACAGTTCATCAAGGTGGGCAGTACATGACTGGGGAGGAGGATACCTAGAAAAGTTATGAAGAAGATGCTAGATTGACCAGGTTGAGATGGATTGACGATGTGGCTGCCGACAAAAGGACAATACTTAAACCAACAGAACTGGAAGGGAACGGTGAGAGACTGAGTTGAATGGCTGAAGTTCTTTGAGGAGCCCAAAACCCACCCTGGGTTGTAGAAGCCATCGGAATAAGTAAATAAATAAGGAAAGTAAACATTGAATATTTCACTAATCAATATACTTAAGAATGATTGTAAAAATTAAGCAATGTACTTACCATTTGCAATTCTGTGATATGTTTCTTCCACCAGATGGATTTCTTCACAGTAGGATCGTATGCGGTGAGGAGGTAATAAAAGTACATTACAGAATGTACGATGCAGTTTATCAATCCCACAAAACATAAATGTGCTCCTAGAGTTGAAATAAAATATTGAAATCGTCATACACTTAATAAAACAAATCTGGTATGGCGTGCACATTACACAACTTTTCCTTACCACCTTATTTTGAGTAAAAATTAATTTGTACTCATGTTGAGTGTTAAGTGGTCTACATTTAGTTTATAGGAACTAATCAACAAAACTGATTGGAATCAGAACTTGACCATTTCAGCAGAAAAGAACATCGTTAAATTCAGGTATCTCAAATGGAAAATTGATGTTGAAAAAAATGGTTGATAATATAATCCAATATTCACATATATTTAAAAACAAAATGTAACTAATAAAGCTATTTTTTTTATCATAGAGAGTTTTTCAAGAAACTAATTATCCTTTTCACTTCAAATGCGAAGTTATTTAAATATCATGAAAACACGTTTTGAGTTCCCTTGTTTCGTTATCAAGTTATCTATAAATAAAAATAAAAATATACATATCTAAACACTCAGTTGGTTTCCTCAAGTAATTCGACTTCAATACCCGAAAATGTTTTTCCCTTAGCTTTATTTATAGTGACTGCAAATGCAAACGAGGAGCAGTACTTGCCTGATTCTCTACGGTATTTCTGTATAAATTTTTGTCCTTTAGAGCTACTGTTCCGTTTCTTACGGTAGGTTCATCCTTTTTAAATTAATGGCCAATCTAAGGCAATAAGAAATTTTCATATCGAACTGCAGGCTCCTATAATTAGTGCTTTCAAACAAACTATTCAGATTTATGTATTAATTTTGAAAACAGTCAAAATTTCAGCATTTGATTTCTTCTTGAGTGCCTATTTGTATTATTATAAACATATAATATTCACATAATAAATATATATGTTACAGATATTTCTTTGAAAAGCATTTTACTAAATTCAGACAAATGCATCACGACTATAATTGTATTTTATTTTTAGACTATCAAAAACTATTGTATTAGTTAGAGATAGTAAAATGAGAAACAGGAATATAACTAGATGTTGATGTTGGGGAGCTTGCGATATTGTTCAAGAATATTATTGAGGATGTCTTATTAATTATTTATTCGATTTTAAATTTTTCTATTATTGGCGTAGTGGAATTACTTTGGTATATATGTGTGTGATGTGTTGAATTTCTGGCATTTGAATTTTTATTTTAGTAAAATGGATATATTATGCAATGTTTATAGCATGATATGTTTTATCGTTGATACTTTATTGGACTAGTGTTATGAAAAGGAAAAAAAAAAGAAAGAAAGGAATTTGTATTTATAAATAGAAAAATGTAATATAATAGTTATGTCCATATGGATTGATAAGTATGGTGTGTATGAAGCAATCCTATGTAGTGGGCAGCATTATTTTAATAAAGTATTTATCTCTCTATTTAGGTACGTTGTTATATCATATGTTTGAGGATGGGATGGGTGAGCATGTTAGGGTGTGGGTCTCAAAGTGCCCAGTTCTGTACGTTGTGTGTTCGATTCCTACCTGGGTTAGTTAATTTTCATTTCGGCCCCGTAAAATGAATCTTGACATTCCTACTCTGGTAAGTACGTGGTAGCAACCTCAAGGTAGTCGTCAGGGACTGGCAAAAATGATCACAAAGCCTACTTGCCGGACTAGTTCCCTCCACAAGTACTAATATATAACATGTTTTAAATTTTGGTAGTATTACAACAATAAACTTTTTTTAATTTAATTAAATTGTGGCAACAATATCATTTATTAGAGCAACTTAATGCTTATTTATGTATATTTTCATTTTTATTATTAGATAACTAGATATTATATATGTTTACTCTAGACTTTTATAATTATATTTTTGTTTTTAGAGGAAAGTTACCTGGTATGTATTTGACTACGACCCAACTTCCCCATGCCATGCCAAGATGATGATACACATGTAGGAACGTCACTTGATGAAAGTTTTTTCTCAGCACCATAAATACCTAAGTCAAAAATATCTTTTTCATAAAAATTGCACTTTATCTCATTAGCTACAATGCCGTAACTCAAAAGACTGTTTTTCATGTACATAGTGTCTCAATTCTTAATGACCAAATTCTGGGGGTTGATTCTTGACAAAAGTTCCAACAAAAAAAGTCCATTTGATGCATGGACCGATTCCAAAGGAAAAATGAGTCAAGACCAATTTTGTATAGTCACGTTTTTACTTTCCTATCTATACTAGGTAAGGAAAGTATTGCAATCAGGCCAAATTTCCAATATGCGGTTTTCAACGGATCTATACGTTTCCCGAGTCCAAAAAACATATTTTTAGCCATTGGTCTATCTGTCTGTCTATCTGTGCCAAGATTTTCTCGGAAACTACTGGAACCGATTTTGTTGCTTCTTTTTTTATTTTGTAGGGTTTTGACTACTGATGCCTGTGACAGAAATTCGTTGCTCCATGCGCAATACCTTGCGGGCAATAAATGAACAATATGTTTTTCTATACACTGTAGCGCGAAAAAGGCTCTAACGATTTTGAAGAAACTTTCGTATAATGTTCTAATCATTGTACTTTCAATTTTCGTATATAGAATAAATTCCCTAAAAAATTCAGGAAAAAATTTATAAAGAAAAGAAAAGCCATTTAGCCTGCCGTTTGAAAAGTAATGAAATTCCCTACAAAGCCATATAAAAATCGTTCATTTTGGACAATTATTAACGAAGTTATTCAATTTCCAATGAATATTACGGGTTCATATTCTGGTGGCAGAAAGGGCTGAATGAGAGAATAAAGATGACTAAGAAGTAAGAAAGTCTGTTGCCCGCATCACACAATCTTCACTATTTCCTCTACTTTTAACAGAAATTATTGTTTGACAATACTAAGCTATGGAAAAAAGTTTTTGATCAGAAATACTATGAAGTATTGAAATGCTTACACTGATCTACCTTAAACCGGTTTACATTGCTTTAATTTATCAAATAAATCGTAGTCAAATCTTTTCTTTGATCAATTTTCAGGAAAATGAATCTAGTTCAATTCTTTTTTCTTCATGAACATATGTAAAGATATAAAAACTTTTCTGAAATAGGTAGGAAAGTCGTGTGAGTGGACACACCATATTTTTTTTTTATTGTTTAAAAAGTAATTACTCATAACTGTTCAAGATAATAAAATTTTAAGTATACTGACATAAAGTAGAAAACATTTTTTTTTCTGAAAACAGTTATTAAATTTATTAAGATCAATGATAAAAGGGACTTTCAGGAAGTCTAATATGGCCACTGTACTGCTGCATTCATAGTATCTCAGCACGAGCAGCATTTTCTCTGTACAGCGGCCTTATTAGACCTCCTTAAAGTACCTTTTACCACTAACCTTAGTAAATTTAATCACTGTTTTGTCAAAAAAAATTTGTTTAGTTTACGATGGTGTACTTAGAATTTTATTATCTTGAAAAGTTTTTGAACAAGTCCTTCTTATTCAACAAAAAATGTGATCATACAAAATTGTTCATAACTCCTTTTTCGCTTTGAATCAGCCCATGCATTAAATGAACTATTTTATTTAAATTTTGTCTAGAATCAACCCCTTCCCCTCATAGTTTGGACATTAAGAACTGAGAAACCTTATGTATTATTATTAAGATTTAATAAATTCAGTTTTTTAGTTCATACTTACAGTATCTACAAGATCTGTGATCTTTACAGCGAAGTATATCCACGAAAGATATGTTGTCTAAAATCAAACAGTATTAATTATTTGTCTATTATAATAAAACAGAATAAAATTTATGAGGCGTCCACTAAAAAAAAGGGATTACTCCTTAAGGTTTGCCACAAGAAAAGAAAAGACATTAACCATAAAAAAAAATTGCTGTGAATAAATTTCAGTTATGTTTTCAGAAAAAATTAACTTTTTAATAAATGTCTTAACAAATTAGTTAGTAGAAGTCTCATATATAAATATATTAATAAAATAAAATATATATTATCAGCGAAACATTGTGTCTACGTACTTTCATATGAAAAGGAGTAGTTTCATAAGTAACTGGAGAACAGGAAAGATTGTACGATGGATGAAGTATTATTCTGATGCCCTGCGAAAAATAATAATAATAATTTATAATGAAAAATGAAATGAAAATTAGATTAAAATTGATTGAAGAACTTTGGGCATGAATGTAACAAGCCTCAGTTTTGAAGGAAATCAGTTATTTGTTCAAAATAGAGCTTCTTTTCATTTCAGTAAATTTCTTTGTTCCAAATGTGAAACCTATTCATTAACCTAATATTATCTATTTAAAAAAAATATATATATATATTTTTTTGTTATTGCATGATGGGATCAAAGCAATAACAAACATCGGCATCGGTAAGGAAGAAGATATTAACTCTCCACATTTTAAAGAAGGAATAAAAAAAAATTAAAAACAATGATCTGGGTGAAGACAAATCTCAGCTGAAATTTTGAAACTGAGAAGTAGAAGTAATCATAGACTAAGCCTTCTATGATATTATGTTCTCAATATGAATTGGAGAGTGAATACCAAATGGTTGGAAAAATTGTATTTGATAATATATGTCCAATATATTTATTATATATTAGACGTCCTATTTACAAGATGGAGGATGACCTGAAATGTCACCGTGGTATCACACTTCTGCCATGTCCATATCAAAAGTCCGTTATTTTTGTTCAAATCAAAATGTAACCGATTATTGGTCAAAATAAATGTTTCCCATAATTGAAGGAATGATTGAATGAAAAAATAATTTTATTCTGGGGTTACTGTCTCCTGAGAATAATGACAGAGTTACATAATTAAGAACATTAGTCTGGCTTGGATAAATACAAAATGATGCCCAATTAACTGTTGATTGTTATTGCAATTGTGCAGTACATTGAATTATACTTTGTACAGACGGAATTGAATTTTGCATGTTTGAGGAAGTTTGAATATTCAAATCAAGTGTTGTTTGAACGAATTTGTGGAGGTGGATTGACGTATGGGAGGATTTATGGGAGGGAAAATATAAATGTATGGGTTGAGATCTGGTATTGAGAGAGTGTATAGAGGAAAGTAGAGTAAGGAGTTCCAGAATATAGGGAGGGTTTTTGGTTCTGAGGACTTGGAGAAGGAAAACACCAAGGAGGAATTTTCGTCGAGAAGTACGGTTAAAGCCACTTTAACGCGGTGTACCTGAATGAAACATGGGAACACCTGGGGATCCCAAAGATGTATCTTATGAAACTAATTATATTTAATTTTAAAATGTAAAAAACAATATTTATATAATGACAAAGAGAGCATAAAGAAAAAAAGTCATGTCAACATGCTATATGACAATAAAGGAAAATAAAATCACAAAGGAAATTATAGTTACCAACCTCAAAAACAACCAAAAAAAAAAAAAAAATCAAGAAAGACTTTTAGTTGTTAAAAAATCTGTGATCCTAAGATAACAGACCAGATAAAATATGCTTGAATCAACTAAGTTATTTTTGCCATAAATTTAGTTATCCTTAAAGGTACCTGATAAACTGCAAAAGAGTTTACGATGACCTGGAGAGTGTTGTAATAGACCATGGCTCTCTCCAGCTTGTAAGGTGCCCTCTTCTCCATGAACTTCGGCCCCGCGTGCCTGATGAAGAAGTAGTACAGTACTCCGATGATGAGGACGGGCAATGGAGAGTCCATCAGTGGCCAGCCTCTGACCCGAGGATCTGAACCAGGTGTGGAAATCGTTACACATATATTAGATAATATACACATATATATTATGTTATGTATACAGGGTGTCTTATTTCTTAATTGACGGATTCCAAACGGAAAAGGATTTAAGACCAGTTTTGTGTTTTTTAAAGATGTTCATGGTTTTTATTGCTTTCTTCAACTATTAAAGATAAGTAAATTATAAGTACACCATCATAAATTAGAGAAAACAGTGATTAAATTGACTATGGTCAATGATAAAAGGAGATTTGTGAAATGATTTGGCATAATGGTAGGCTTTGCGTTACTAGACCTCTTAAAAGTCCCTTTTTTCATTAACCTTAGTAAATTTAATCACTGTTTTGTATAATTTATGATGGTGTACTTAGAATTTACTTATCTTGAACAATTTTTGAGCAATGCCTTCTTATTAAATAAAAAACTTGATCACATAAAAAAACAACACAATATTGATACAATACTACTTTTCTGTTCAGAATCAGCCCATGAATAAAATGATCTGTTTTGTTAAAAATTTTGTTCAGTATCATCTCCCAGAATTTAAAAATTAAGAATTGAATCACCGTCTATACATCCTTGTCTAAAAGTGCAAGACCCCACCCATGGGTGTTCCTCCCCCCACAAGGTCGATGTCGCAAAAACGTATCTCCCCTCTCAAGATATTTTATTGCTCACTTTTTCTTAAGAATAGAGAAAGTGAAGGTACAATTAGAAAAATCGCAGGTCACATACAATTCCATTTGCTGCGGTTTGTTCCATGCTTTCTCCTTGTCCCTTTGTCTGACCCTTTTTACTCTGAAAATTCATAACCCCATCGAAATGTGCCCCCCCCCCAAAAAAATTAAAAAATCCGTCAAAATATACCCCCCAAAAAACTTTGATCGAACCCCCTTCTGCGAATCTCTGACTCCACCATTAGATGACGTGTACTTTTACGATATGATGTTAATGACCTTAATATGAATTCAGCTGTCACGATGTATGAATACGTTTACGATGTATTATTAATTATATCTCAACTGTCGTTCTAAAAACGTAATTTTTGACTGAATCATTGTGGATGTGTTTTATTCACTTCAGAAATGAAATTTCGATCTGTATTAAATGTAAAGAAGTTCAGGAAATGAACTTCTTTAGTACATTCGATTATTTTAAATGGATTTGGTTCAACACGGACGCAAAATGTTTCACTAATCTAGATTTTCAGTACACGATTCCAAATTAAAGAAAGTTATATTTCTATCATATTCCAAACTTCGTTTTAGGAAATATGACCCTGACGAATAAAAACCCTTTATATGAGACCAGATAATTTAAATACCGAAGTACAGTGTGTTTTTTATTTTGGCAGCACAGAATTCACGAAAAATGATCAAATCACGCGAATTTTGCTATAAGATTTTCTGCATAAAATGGTGGGACATAACGCAAACTTCGACAAGTACATGGACCATTGAAGTTCAGGAAATTTAGTTAGTGTTTGTAATATCGCTACTGTTAGTGCGAAAGGTCGTATGTAACATTTTAACATATCTATTCTCCTCTTTGTGCTAAAGGTGACATCTTGTCTGTAACTGCTATTGGTAGTCTGCTAAATAGGAAAATAACAGAGGCCAATAAAATATGAAGTTATACTAATAAGTCGTAAGAAATAATAGGTTTAAATACTCAATTTGTACTTGCAACCTTTTGCACTATAAGTAGTTAGTTGCGTCATTTCAGACAAGTAAGTTTTCGGGAATTCATTACAACTATCCTAAGTCGATATTCTTCCTTGATAGTTGATGATATTTTAAGAATCAAAAATTAACTTGTAAGGTGCGTTTAGACATTTTACAAACTCTGACAAACACAATTGTTACTAGACTAATAGCGACATTATTGCTAAACCAGACAATTTATTTTCTTTCCCTTGATATCGACAATAGACAATAGCGGACCCAGGATTTAATTTTGGGGGAAGCCTTGAGCCCGAAATCTTTTTTTTTTTCTCATGTATATAACGATAATTACTTTCAAAAAAAAAAAAGAAAGAAAGATATTAAATAAGTGATTCTTGAAGTCCTATTAAATGTAATTACTCGAACAATAATACTTTAACGGATAATTTTTTACCATAAAACATGGTTACATTTTACCATTTGGGAAAGGAGGGGGGCTTCAGTCCGAAAGTCACTGACAGCAGATGAAAAACATCAAAAACAAAAACACTAGCATTGGGGAGAAAAATAAATATTTGTGTTTCCCATGATTTGTGAAATGCCTAAAAGCCCCTTAACGATTAATTGTGTTTAAAGCGGTTTTTCAGCGGAATCAGGGCTAGAAACGAGGGGGTTGGGATGATTCTGAAGTTTATTATGGAAGGATAGGTATCTGGATTGGGCCAGATCAGAAACATAAGAAACATTAACATCGTTATGGATGGTTTTATTTGTAACAAAGTAGGGAGCATTGAGGATTTTACGAAGGATTTCGGATTGGGTACGAGAGGAATTCGATGGCTTAGTGGAGCCCCATAGCTACGTAAGTCCAAATAGGCCTTATTATAGTCATGTATATGAGTCTTTTGTAATTAATTGGAAGTTTAGAGCGTTTGTCTAGTAAGTGCTGAAGTAATCGGAAACATCGAGTGGTTTCAGTCTGGTATGATTACTTTCTCTTAAATATGAAAAATGTATTTTCATTGATACGTCTATATTGCAATTACCGCGCGTTGGGTATGTTTCAAATTTGGAGGAAATTTAGTGATTGATAAATAAATGATGAATTAAGATTCAATTTCTTCAAAGTCTATTTTTTTTTTTTGTTAGGGGGCTTGAAAAATAAACCAAACCTGGATCCAAAAGTTCTAGGTACGCCACTGCCTCTGAGATATTAACTTAATAAATTTATCTTTAACAAATAATTTTCTTGATTACCTGATTGGTTGTAGATAATATCATTGTAATATTCCTGTATCATACTCAGTGCTGTTGTCGCCATCTTCTTTAATTTCTTAAACCTTAACGAACTAAATTGTATTCATTAAATTACAAATGCCAGCTTCATATTATTTATTTTTTTGTTTTATATAATAATAATTTATTACCTTTAAGAACAATTCGGATCCAACTGCTCCCTTGAAGACGACACAACACACTGCCCAATCAGCTGTTAAATATGTATAAGTTAGTTGCATATTATAACAACTAAATACCAAGACCTTTGACATCACTTCCCTTCTACGTAGATAGTCTCGTGTGGAGTAAAATTAAGCCTAAATTCTTAAACAACAGATTATAGAAAGTACGTCTTACCTAATGTCTAATAGATAATATTTGAGACATAAAACCGTGCAAAAATATTTCATTTTTTTTTTTTATCTCTGCTACCAGAGGTATGCAAGATGGAACAAGACTTATCTATTAATTGCAAGATGGAACAAGACTTATTTATTATGGAAGGATAGGTATCTGGATTGGGCCAGATCAGAAACATAAGAAACATTAACGTCATTATGCCATTAACATCAGATGCCATGTGCTTAGACGCTTGCAATAAGTAATCAAAGTTAAGCTACGTCGAGCGTGGTAAGTATTTAGATGGGTGTCCTTCATTGGCCCGTCAGCCTATTGGAAGCAACTCTGCAAGAACTGGAAACTGATTTTAAAAGTTCAATAATAATAAAAGGCTTAGCAAACCCGAAGGTTCGATGCCGACACCATCAATCGCTTATTACACACCTCCCTCCACCGTTTGCCGTCCAGACCCAGTCCCTTCAGATCGGCTTTAATGCAATCTTCCCACCTTCGCTTCGGTCTACCCATCGGACGCTTACCATTCGGCACAGCAAACATTAACCTTTTAGGGTTTCTCTCGTTACTAAGCCCAACAACTTTACAAGCCCATTTGATTCGCCGCGATGAAATTACCTCAATTATATTACCCGGATACAGCTCACGCAATTCGGCGTTGTGTAACCGTCTGAACTCTCCGGTTAACTCATCCTTCTTCGGTCCGAATATTCTACGCAATACTTTATTTTTAAAAACCTTAAGACGCTGCTCATCCCTTAATGTAAGCGGCCAAGTTTCGCATCCATAAGGAACTGTAGGCAAGATAATTGTTTTATAGATTCTAATTTTTAAGTTCCGGGACAAGAGGCGCGAACTAAGTAGTTTTGTCACAGAAAAATAACAAGCATTTTCCGCTTTAAGTCTAACCTTATTCTCTTCTTCAATTTCGTTTTTTCTAGTTATCGTAGAACCTAGATACCTAAATTTATCTACCTGTTCAAACATATTACCATCTATATCGATATCACCATAGTATCGCCATTTTTGCAGCTAATCATATATTTTGTTTACGTATTTCGAGTCCTAGTTCTTTACCGGCTTTCATTAACGTTGCCATATTTAATTTCAATTAGTCGACTCTATCCGACTTTACCCGAGCTGGTTTGTGCTTTAGACCACACGATAGAAATGAGAACATCAACAAGACGAGATTAATAAGATGAAATATTAATTATAAATAATAGTTCATTATAAAGAGGATGAAATGCTAAACATTTTCCTCGCTTACAGTATGCAGGTCCGATTTTTATTTTCTGAGATATTTTTGTCCATATCTTCAATAAAACTCGTTATAATTTGGTTTTCGACACTTGAGATATTTTAATCCATATGCAAAAACACCTTAATTAGTATTAGTCAACCTTAACCGAGAGTTACACATCGAAAATCTGACGGCTCAATCTAATTCACCAAAAAAAGGATAAATAAAAGTTAATAAAATAATTTTTAATAATTATAATTTTCCATAGGAATTTTTATTTGTTGGGCGCCTGGCTTTACTAGCCTTTCATCTCTAAAGATATAATCATAGAGAATATAAGTTACTTACCCATGATTTGGCCATGATAAATCATTCACTCTACCATGCTAGCTCAGGTGAGAAGGATTAAGTTGGATATTTGATTATAAAGCAGCAAAAAAAGGTTAAGAGATCTATTTACAAAAAGATATATTTACAGAATTAATACTATGTACAATAAAAAGAAATAAAATACAAGGAAAAAGAGGGAATTCAAACATAATTACTATATACAATTAAAGATAAATAGGAAGACGTTAAAGATAATAAAGATCATAAAAATAACAAAAAAGATACTTATTCTATATACAATAGTATGGCATGCCACATCTAAACATCTAGAAAAGATAGTCAAGATACAATAAGATGTAAGAGTACATGCACATGCTAAAATATCAATTAGTCATCTCGCCAGGAAACAAAAGAGAGTAGAGTTTGTTTTGTTTCCAGTGACCAAGACCAAGGCCACCTAACTGTTACTGGATCAAGACCTGGACTGGTAAAAAAATCGATTTTAAAAAATAAAAATTAAGACAAAATAGATAGTTATACTCGACAATCTTACTACAACTACTTTTGCATTTAACTCCTTTAATTTTTCATTCTTAGTTAGTTTTCCCCTATTTAAAACAATACAGTAATATCTCTAAAGTAGTAAGCTAATAAGTAACTGCAAGACTGTTGCAAGTCTCTTGCGCAAGACCATGGCCATGACCAAGACTGAGTTTGCAAGACCAAGACTCGTCTCGGTCTCGCCTTGGATATTAATCTCCCTCCCTCTTGCCTGGCCTGAGAAAAATTCCCGCAAAAGGCGAGGTAGGGGGGTAAAAAAAGAAAAAAAAAAGTTCCTAAACTCAGCGCAAATCCATTGATGGAATGTCGATGCTTATCAATGAGCACTGAGTTTAGGAACTTGCCGATTGTTGCGTCGATGTGTTTAGGAACGGTTTGATGGATTACCGATGCTCATGAGTGAGTTGAATTGAGTTTAGGAAATTGCCGATTGTTACGTCAATGAGTTTAAGAACGATTTGATGGATTACCGATGCTCATCAGTGAGTTAAATTGAGTTTAGGAACTTGCCGATTGCTGCGTCGATGTATTTAGGA